GGTATGATGATCGGCTGATCATCATACAGGCCCAGTTCAGCAGCGGGAACAATCTCGCTGAGAACGTTCTTGAAGACTTCGTGAGATTTCCCCTTGGAGGTAGACGCTGCCCTGGGGGTACGGAGTCTGGCGCTGAGTAGATGTCGAGGCCCTCTTAGACTTTGGCTCTTGCGATGGGACGGGATGTCTGGGGAAGCAGGACGCTTCTTGGAGACGGCGGACTGAATCCCACGCCTCCTCCGAGGGAAACTCTAGCGGAACACCAGACGGGAGGGGGTCAGTCCGACAGCAGCTGACTGGCTAGGGTCCCATGTATCGCCATGGCTAAACCTTGTTTATGTGACTCTATCTGCTGCACGCCTCAAGACGCAAAGATGATATTTATTAAATGCAGAATTAGATAGATTAATACAGTAACTGCAACGTGAAGAAAACGCACAAGGCGTAGTACAGCTAGGGCATATTAAATGCGGGTCAGCAGCAGAAAAATGTAATCTACAAATAGTACAGATTCTCATCAACGTAAACTAGCTGAACAATCACGAAATCCCGTGAATAAACAGTAGAAATACGAATAATTATCAATACATATTAATGAAGGATACTAGCTACACCTCTATAGTAAACTATAAGAGGTAACTAACTAAGAATAACCAAAGGATATAGTGTGTAGGGAGACACAGGCGCTCTCACATCCTGCTCACTGGGCGAAGAAGGAGAGAGTGAAGCATGAGGCCAGAAGGTGGCGCCGCCTTTCCCGCGCAAAGGCAAAGGGAGGCAACTCGTGGTTAGTACTAATTAGTGATTTTACATTGAAGGGAGCTTCAATTAGGGAGATACAAGTGTTCCACTATGTTCGCAAGAAGAAGAAGACAAGCAAAAGAGCATGAGTCAGGATAAGGAAAAATTGATAGATTTTGTACATTCATCATGGCGGTAAGATAAATATGTTGTAAACTTCTCACTCAGGTAACACGGTCTGATGTAAGACAGTTTGACCCCCATCAGAGAGAAGCATACAACTTATAGTATACATATCCAGAATGTTAGAGTTAGGGGCATACAGAAACACGTACAGACTTCGGTATAGTAACACTGAAAGTATGAGTGATGTACAGACTGTGGTATAGTAACACTGGAAGTATGAGTGATGTACAGACTGTGGTATAGTAACACTGGAAGTATGAGTGATGTACAGACTGTGGTATAGTAACACTGGAAGTATGAGTGATGTACAGACTGTGGTATAGTAACACTGGAAGTATGAGTGATGTACAGACTGTGGTATAGTAACACTGGAAGTATGAGTGATGTACAGACTGTGGTATAGTAACACTGGAAGTATGAGTGATGTACAGACTTCGGTATAGTAACACTGGAAGTATGAGTGATGTACAGACTGTGGTATAGTAACACTGGAAGTATGAGTGATGTACAGACTGTGGTATAGTAACACTGGAAGTATGAGTGATGTACAGACTGTGGTATAGTAACACTGGAAGTATGAGTGATGTACAGACTGTGGTATAGTAACACTGGAAGTATGAGTGATGTACAGACTGTGGTATAGTAACACTGGAAGTATGAGTGATGTACAGACTGTGGTATAGTAACACTGGAAGTATGAGTGATGTACAGACTGTGGTATAGTAACACTGGAAGTATGAGTGATGTACAGACTGGTATAGTAACACTGGAAGTATGAGTGATGGTACAGACTGTGGTATAGTAACACTGGAAGTATGAGTGATGTACAGACTGTGGTATAGTAACACTGGAAGTATGAGTGATGTACAGACTGTGGTATAGTAACACTGGAAGTATGAGTGATGTACAGACTGTGGTATAGTAACACTGGAAGTGAGTGAGTACAGACTGTGTACAGACACTGGAAGTATAGTAACAGACTGGAAGTATGAGTGATGTACAGACTGTGGTATAGTAACACTGGAAGTATGAGTGATGTACAGACTGTGGTATAGTAACACTGGAAGTATGAGTGATGTACAGACTGTGGTATAGTAACACTGGAAGTATGAGTGATGTACAGACTGTGGTATAGTAACACTGGAAGTATGAGTGATGTACAGACTGTGGTATAGTAACACTGGAAGTATGAGTGATGTACAGACTGTGGTATAGTAACACTGGAAGTATGAGTGATGTACAGACTGTGGTATAGTAACACTGGAAGTATGAGTGATGTACAGACTGTGGTATAGTAACACTGGAAGTATGAGTGATGTACAGACTGTGGTATAGTAACACTGGAAGTATGAGTGAACAGACTGTGGTATAGTACTGGAAGTATGAGTGATGTACAGACTGTGGTATAGTAACACTGGAAGTATGAGTGATGTACAGACTGTGGTATAGTAACACTGGAAGTATGAGTGATGTACAGACTGTGGTATAGTAACACTGGAAGTATGAGTGATGTACAGACTGTGGTATAGTAACACTGGAAGTATGAGTGATGTACAGACTGTGGTATAGTAACACTGGAAGTATGAGTGATGTACAGACTGTGGTATAGTAACACTGGAAGTATGAGTGATGTACAGACTGTGGTATAGTAACACTGGAAGTATGAGTGATGTACAGACTGTGGTATAGTAACACTGGAAGTATGAGTGATGTACAGACTGTGGTATAGTAACACTGGAAGTATGAGTGATGTACAGACTGTGTGGTATAGTAACACTGGAAGTATGAGTGATGTACAGACTGTGGTATAGTAACACTGGAAGTATGAGTGATGTACAGACTGTGGTATATAGTAACACTGGAAGTATGAGTGATGTATGAGGACATAGACTGTGGTATAGTAACACTAAAGTAGTAAGAGTGATGTACAGACTGTGGGTATAGTAACACTGGAAGTATGAGTGATGTACAGAACACTGGTATAGTACAGACAGTAACACTGGAAATGGAGTGATGTACAGACTGTGGTATAGGAGTGGAGTATGAGTGATGCAAACGACCGGACAGACAACAGACCAGATGACACTGGTATAGCAACACCGGGGCATGAGTGATGTACAGACTGTGGTGGCCCAGAACACTGAAATGAGTGGACACAGACCGTGGAGTATGGAGTGATGTACACACCGGAAGTGGAGTGGTACAGACAGTAACACTGGAAGGACACTGGTATAGTAACACCGGAAGTATGTGATGTACAGATGTATAGTAACACTGGAAGCATGATGGAACAGACCATAGCACCACTGGAAGAACATGACTGTGGTATATAACCTGGAAGTGGTACAGACTGTGGTATAGACACCGAAGCATGAGTGAACAGACCAGAAGTATGAGTGATGTACAGACTGGTGGTGCATAGTGAGCATGACCGTACAGACTGGATAGTAACACTGGAATGCATGAGTGATGTACAGACCAACATGGAAGGAGCACGAACACAGAGCACACACCGGATGATGTACAGACTGTGGTATGACATGGAGGAGTGATGCACAGTACACTGGAAGTAAGGTGGAGTAACACCAGACTGTGGTACATCAGTAACACTGGAAGTATGAGTGATGTACAGACTGTGGTATATAAACACTGGAAGTATGAGGATGTGGACAGACTGTGGTACAGTAACACTGGAAGTATGAGTGGTACAGACTGTGGTATAACACTGGAAGTATGAGTGAATGTACAGGACAGTGTGGGTATGACACAACCACTGGAAGTACAGACCAGCAAGTGGCAGTACAGACTGTGGTAGGAGTAACACAGAAGTATGAGGATGTACAGAGTATGAGTGATGATGCACAGTAACACTAGAAGCGGCACAGACAATAGTGGAGATGTACAGACAGCTAACTGGGTAGGATGGAGTGGATGTAACACAGAGTGATGGACAGTAACACTGCAACATGAGGATCCCACTGGAAGTATGAGTGAGAGACACCTGGAAGTGGACCAGACACAGGAGATGTACAGACTCACACTGGAAGTATGAGTGGACAGACTGTGGGAGATGTACACAGACTGGAGTGAGTAACTTGTGGTATAGACCTGGAGTATGAGTGATGTACAGACTGTGGTATACCTGAACCAAGGACCGTGGTACAGACTAGTATGAGTGATGTACAGACTGTGGTACAGGCCCAGACTGTAAGCACAGGAGTATGGAAGGATGCACAGACAGACTGTGGTGGAAGTATAGTAACACACTGGAGTGGAGACTGTGGCATAGTAACAGTATGAGGATGGACAGTACAGACTGTGGAAGGAGGATGCACTGACTGTGGAGTGAAGTATGAGTGATGTACAGACTGTGGTATAGTAACACTGGAAAGGAGTGGACAGACTGGTGGTATAGTAACACTGGAAGGATGAGTGATGTACAGACTGGTATAGTAACACTGAAGTATGAGTGATGTACAGACTGTGGTATAAGAACACTGTAGTAACAGAGTGATGTACAGGTGGTATAGTAACACTGGAAGTATGAGTGATGTACAGACTGTGGTATAGTAACACTGGAAGAGTATGAGTGATGTACAGACTGGTATAGTAACACTGGAAGTATGAGTGATGTACAGATGGTATAGTAACACTGGAAGTATGAGTGGATGTACAGACTGTGGTATAGTAACACTGGAAGTATGAGTGATGTACAGACTGTGGTATAGTAACACTGGAAGTATGAGTGATGTACAGACTGTGGTATAGTAACACTGGAAGTATGAGTGATGTACAGACTGTGGTATAGTAACACTGGAAGTATGGAGACTGTGGATGTACACACTGGTATAGTAACACTGGAAGTATGAGTGATGTACAGACTGTGGTATAGTAACACTGGAAGTATGAGTGATGTACAGACTGGTATAGTAACACTGGAAGTATGAGTGTCGTACAGACTGGGGTATAGTAACACTGGAAGTATGAGTGTCGTACAGACTGTGGTATAGTAACACTGGAAGTAGGAGTGGAAGTATACTGTCATATCCAGAAAGTATGATTGAGATACTCACGGCTCAGCCTCCCTGACTGTCTCCCATGTGCCGTAAGCACATCGTGCCCACTTGGGGTCGTCCCTCTTCTTGGGGGGTGGTTCATCAGCTGGAAGGGGTATGTCTACAGGTAAGGGGTCGTCACTAGTTGGAGAAGGTTTATCGCTAGGCAAGGGGATGCTCTCTACAGGTAGGGGAATTGATGAAGGAGTTATATCGTCTGTACTCTCTTCATCATATTTCCTTTTCAGTGAATCATTCTGTTTCTGAAATCAACAAATATATGATTTACCATAACAACTTAATAAAAGAGTGACAGAAAACTGTTTAAAACAGTTACAAAGTCAGATTCCTCAGTTTGATACCAGCATAAAACAGCAGTAGACATGAGTATTTTCATACAAAACAAAAAGCTTGTCTGCTGCAAAAACCTCTCAGCTGAGAGTTCAAAGCTGCAACTATTAACCACTCTCTACCTCAGTGCCACGATATCATCACACAGCATCACATCCTTGTGTTAAAACGGGACAGCGCCGGCCCAGGAGTGTGATAGTTCACAAATGCATCTAGTATGTTATTGGTATTTACTTCACTGACTGCTTCATCCTGGGTTGTCTCCCCTTCCTCTGTCTGTTCCTGCTCTGCAAGTGTCACAAATGAGTCGGGCGTCTCCCACACAGATTCTGCCAAGACCAGGAGGATACTAAGTGGTATGCGATCAGGTTATTTAAGTGAACTGCCTGAAGTTTAACCCCACACTGCCTCCCATCATCGAATGTCTCCCCTAGGTTAAAATTCAAATACATTTGATTCCCCATAACTCGCAGCTTAACCCCATCAATCAACAACTTGACCCCCATATAACCCACCCATGACCCAAAGAACTCACCACTATCACCAACACTCAACACTCTGTTGAAGCACCAGCCATTTGGTTCAGCCCATAGCTGGCTGCAGAATTGATCGCGGGTGCTTAACCCAGCACTGGCTGGATCAAAAATAAAGAACTCTGCCCTAAGGCTGGCCCGTGTCATCTATGGGACTAGCCCGTTTACACCTTCACTCACCCCCTTGCCTTGGCCCTCAGCACTCACCCCCTTGACCTCATTCACTCACCCCATTGACTACTTTACTTACCCCCTTGCCTTGGCCCTCAGCACTCACCCCCTTGACCCCTTCACTCACCCCACTGACCCCTTCACTCACCCTCTTGACCCCTTCACTCACCCCTTGGCCCCCTTCACTCACCCCCTTGGCCCCTCTTCACTCACCCCTTGACCCCTTCACTCAACCCCTTGGGCCCTTCCTCACCCAATTGATCCCCCTTCACTCACCCCTTGACCCCTTCACTCACCCCCTTGATCTCCCCTTCACTCACCCCCTTGGCCCCCTTCACTCACCCCTTTGACCCCTTCACTCAACCCCTTGGGGCCTCTTTAGGAGTAGCCAAGTATGTTAAAGCGTTAAACTCATCTCAAGGACCCCTTCCGAATCCCCCAGATTTACATTGTGTGAAGCTCATTTCTAGTGTCCCCCTTTGATATTGCTGGAATAATGCTAAAAGCGGCGCAGAAACCAAACTCACTCACTCACCAACCCCTTGGGCCCTTCCCTCACCCAATTGACCCCTTCACTCACCCCTTTGACCCCCTCCCACTTCCAGGTCCCTTCACTACCCCTTGACCCTTCACTCAGCCCTTGGACCCTTCACTCCCCAATTGGACCCCTTCACTCACCCCCTTGACCCTTCACTCACTTGCCTTGGCCCTCAGCACTCACCCCTTGCCTCCCCTTCCTCACCCCTTGACCCCTTCACTTCAGCCTTGGGCCCTTCACTCACCCAATTGACCCCCTTCACTCACCCCTTGACCCCTTCACTCACCCCTTGCCTTGGCCCTCAGCACTCACCCCCCTTGACCCCTTCACTCACCCCTTGACCTCTTCACTCACCCCCTTGACCCTTCACTCACCCTCTTGATCCCTTCACTCACCCCTTGACCCCCTTCACTCACCCCCTTGCCTTGGCCCTCAGCACTCACCCCCTGTGACAGTACTCCAGTAGTATGTGTAGCCCTCAGGAGACTTTGCCTCGAACCACTCCTTCACATCCACATAATCCGGGAGTCCCTCTTCCTCAGCCCCTTTCGTGTTAACGGGTTCCCCCTTTGTTTTTGTTTTAGAAGCATCTGCAACACAGATATAAGTAGTGTTCATGCACTTGCAATCTGACAACACAATCAATGTTCACACACTATCAATCTAACAACACAAAGCGTGCTCACACACTATCAATCTGACAACACAATTCATGTTCACACACCATCAATCTGACAACACAACCAGTGTTTACGTACTATTAATCTGACAACACAACCAGTGTTCACACACTATCAATCCGACAACACAACCCATGTCCACACACTATCAATCTGACAACACAACCCGTGTTTACACACTATCAATCTGACAACACAACCCGTGTTCACAGACTATCAACCTGACAACACAACCCATGTTCACACACTATCAATATGACAACACAACCAGTGTTCACACACTATCAGTCTGACAACATAACCTGTCCTCACACACTAACAATATGACAACACAACTCGTGTTCACACACTATCAATCTGACAACACAATCAATGTTCACACACTATCAACCTGACAACACAATCCATGTTCACGTACTATTAATCTGACAACACAACCTGTGTTCACACACTATCAATCTGACAACACAATCCATGTTCACACACTATCTATCTGACAACACAACTCGTGGTTACACACTATCAATCTGACAACAGAACCCTTGTTTACACACTATCAATCTGACAACACAATTCATGTTCACACACTATCAATATGACAACACAACCTGTGTTCACACACTATCAATCTGACAACACAGTCCATGTTCACACACTATCAACCTTCAGAAAACAGTGTTCATCTCAAACTCACCTTTGGCAGATTTTGCCTTAGCAAAATATTTGGCTGCTAAAGCTGGATCATTCTCTAAATCTTTTCTGAATGCTTCCAGGGCAGCCTGAAATAAAAATAACGTTGAAATGTGGGAGAGGAGCGGTGATGTTCAGTCCTGTGGGTGGGAGAGGAGTGTTGATGTTCAAATCCTGTGGGTGGGAGAGGAGAGTTTATGTTCAAATCCTGCGGGTGGGAGAGGAGAGTTTATGTTCAACTCCTGTGGGTGTGAGAGGAGTGTTGATGTTCAATCCTCTGGGTGGGAGAGGAGGGCTGATGTTCAATCCTCTGGGTGGGAGAGGAGTGTTGATGTTCAATCCTCTGGGTGGGAGAGGAGGGCTGATGTTCAATCCTCTGGGTGGGAGAGGAGGGCTGATGTTCAATCCTCTGGGTGGGAGAGGAGAGTTGATGTTCAGTCCTGTGGGTGGGAGAGGAGTGTTGATGTTCAGTCCTGTGGGTGGGAGAGGAGTGTTGATGTTCAAATCCTGTGGGTGGGAGAGGAGAGTTTATGTTCAAATCCTGTGGGTGGGAGAGGAGTGTTGATGTTCAGTCCTGTGGGTGGGAGAGGAGTGTTGATGTTCAATCCTCTGGGTGGGAGAGGAGTGTTGATGTTCAGTCCTGTGGGTGGGAGAGGAGTGTTGATGTTCAAATCCTGTGGGTGGGAGAGGAGAGTTTATGTTCAAATCCTGTGGGTGGGAGAGGAGAGTTTATGTTCAACTCCTGTGGGTGTGAGAGGAGTGTTGATGTTCAATCCTCTGGGTGGGAGAGGAGGGCTGATGTTCAATCCTCTGGTTGGGAGAGGAGTGTTGATGTTCAATCCTCTGGGTGGGAGAGGAGGGCTGATGTTCAATCCTCTGGGTGGGAGAGGAGGGCTGATGTTCAATCCTCTGGGTGGGAGAGGAGAGTTGATGTTCAACTCCTGTGGGTGGGAGAGGAGAGTTGATGTTCAACTTCTGTGGGTGGGAGAGGAGAGATGATGTTCAACTCCTGTGGGAGGGAGAGGAGAGCTGATGTTCAATCCTGTGGGTGGGAGAGGAGAGTTGATGTTCAACTCCTGTGGGTGTGAGAGGAGTGTTGATATTCAACTCCTATGGGCTGGCTGACTGAGTATGGTTTTACGCCGTTTTTAGCAATATTCCAGCAATATCACGGCAGGGGACAACAGAAATGGGCTTCACAAGTTGTACCCATGTGGGGAATAGAACCCGGGCCTTCGGCGTGACGAGCGAACGCTTTAACCACTAGGCTACACCACCGCCCAACTCCTGTGGGTGGGAGAGGAGTGTTGATGTTCAACTTCTGTGGGTGGGAGAAGACAGTTGATGTTCAATACTGTGGGTGGGAGAGGAGAGTTGATGTTCAACTCCTGTGTGAGGGAGAGGAGAGCTGATGTTCAATCTTGTGTGTGGAAGAGGAGAGGTGATGTTCAACTCCTGTGGGTGGGAGAGGAGAGGTGATGTTCAACTCCTGTAGGTGTGAGAAGAGCGTTGATGTTCAACTCCTGTGGGTGGGAGAGGAGAGGTGATGTTCAGTCCTGTTGGTGGGAGAAGAGTGTTGATGTTCACTCCTGTGGGTGGGAGAGGAGAGCTAATGTTCAACTCCTGTGGGTGGGAAAAGAGTGTTGATGTTCAATCCTGTGGGTGGGAGAGGAGAGGTGATGTTCAGTCATGTGGGTGGGAGAAGAGTGTTGATGTTCACTCCTGCCGGTGGGAGAGGAGAGTTGATATTCAACTCCTGTCGGTGGGAGAGGTGATGTTCAGTCCTGTGGGTGTGAGAGGAGAGTTGATGTTCATCTCCTGTGTGGGGGAGAGGAGTGTTGATGTTCATCTCCTGTGTGGGGGAGAGGAGTGTTGATGTTCATCTCCTGTGTGGGGGAGAGTAGGGTTGATGTTCATCTCCTGTGTGGGGGAGAGGAGAGTTGATGTTCATCTCCTGTGTGGGGGAGAGGAGAGTTGATGTTCATCTCCTGTGTGGGGGAGAGGAGTGTTGATGTTCAACTCCTGTGTGGGGGAGAGGAGAGTTGATGTTCAACTCCTGTGGGTGGGAGAGGAGGGTTGATGTTCATCTCCTGTGTGGGGGAGAGTAGGGTCGATGTTCCATTCCTGTAGGTCTGAATGGAGAGTTGATGTGGGTAGCTGAAGGTCATTTGCAAAAGAAGCTGTCTAAGGCACCAGGCAAGTGATCCAGCGAGCTTGGAGGTGCCGGAATCAAGCACACCTGTGACCCGGGTGTAAAAACCTTGGAGTCAACTTTGTGTGCAGATTCTATCCATGTTGTCACAACCCTTAGTGTACAGTACACAATGCTGTGCACTTACAAGAACCCACGAATCTGTTGGTAAATGACCAGATGGTGGCCACATGAATACATGCAAACACCTAGTTGCGGGTACAGAAACGTGCAGTGAACTTGGACAAAGTAGTATGACTATGTGTCCCAGGCCACCATGCTGTGAATGGGTACCTTGTAAGGATGAGAAGGCCACATTAACTTGGTGCGCCTAGTGGCTGCATGAGGTGTATGATCCCCAGGGAGTTGAGATTGAAAATATGAAGTGCTGTTGAGATTGACGTCCAATGATCGAGGGAAAACAAAGCGCTTTGAGCATGCATGTAGATGGGATGGACTATAGAGCTATATAAATACGCATGTAATAATAATAAAAACAAAACAAAAAACCAACCCCAGATATACTAAAAACACCCTTCCTAAAGCTTACCTTCTCCATCTTCTGTAGATCTGACTCCATTTCCTCTTCTCGCTGGGCCTTCTCGATGCTTTTTTTCTTGACCTAAAAAACATTAATGTGTATATTCTTGGAGCTGTCAAAACCAACAAACAAAAGGATATGTTCAAAATTCTGATAACATAATGCATGACTGGAAACTGGATAACCTAGAGATAGTTATCAAGAGATATATGGAGGCTGTATAATCTAAAAGAAGTCATCACACAATATCTGTATGCCGGAAGACCTAAATGAAGTTGTCAAGTGATATCTGGAGGCTGGAAGACCTAAACGAAGTTGTCAAGTGATATCTGGAGGCTGGAAGACCTAAACGAAGTTGTCAAGTGATATCTGGAGGCTGGAAGACCTAAACGAAGTTGTCAAGTGATATCTGGAGGCTGGAAGACCTAAACGAAGTTGTCAAGTGATATCTGGAGGCTGGAAGACCTAAACGAAGATGTCAAGTGACAGCTGTATGCTGGAAGACCTAAACGAAGTTGTCAAGTAGTGTCTGTATGCTGGAAGGTGAGGTGAGGTGAAATAGGGTTTAACGTCGTGCTTGAGAATATTGGAGGCTAAGACCTAAACGAGTTGCGATATCTGCATAAACGAAGATGTGTGTGTGGAGGTATGTGTATGTGAATATGCGGCTGCTTGTACTAGCCCAGACTTAAGTTGGTTTTATAGTGCTAGCCCACTGAGATACCATGCCGCAGTGAAGCATGAATACCCTACTCAGACACATTATACTGACTCCGAGCCAACCAGTCCTTGTACCCATTACTGACGAGAGCCAGGCAGGGACCAACAAGTACCATATTTTAATGTCTTTTGGTGTGACGCGGTCGGGGATCGAACCCGCTACTTTCCGCTCTCCGGGCGGATGCTCTAACCACTACACCACAGAGGCGGTCGTATGCTGGAAGACCTAAACGAAGTTGTCAAGTGATATGTGGAGGCTGGAAGATCTAGCATGTCATCTAACAACTGAAGGAATTAATTGTATATGACACCAGAATTAAATGTTTAACTTCTTATAAGGACTTTTGTGTAAAAACTCATTTTTCATAACAGGCTTGTTACTTTCCTTTAGACTTACCTCTTCGATTCTTTTCTTGACATTTTCTTGATGTCTCTTCCCCTTTTCGTGAAAATCAACACTCTGAAAAATATGGATGCAAAATTTTATAAAGATGCCAGCAACATGTTTTTCCAAATAATCAATATAAATCTTTTTAAAGTTGAACTTTAATCACACATTCTACATGCTCTGCATCATTAAGTACATATCATTTTTGCTTTTCATTTATAGACATTGCTGAAAATCCCACTTGTGAAATATACGGCAACAACAAATTCTGAATCTATTGTTTATTTTGTGAATTATGTTCTACTGGATATGTGGTCATGTGCAGCTCTTTCATCAGGGGACCAGTACATTACTACCTAGGAACTTGGTCAGGACAGGTCAGTGAGTCAGTCTGTGTTGGTACACGTGCACTCACCGGCTTGTTGTCAGTGATCCAGCATTTACAGAAGTCGCAGAATTTGCGCGGGACAGACTTCCAGTAGGTGGCCATGTTGAGGCAAGCTGCAACAAACATGATTAGTCCATCTGACTGACAACTATTCTGTCTGTAGTCCGCTCGAGGCATCTTTATGAAGTAGATTAAAAATAAAATGTACTGGAAATGATTGGCAGCATATTTGTGCTTGTAGAATCTAAAACTTTAGGGCAGACTGAAACTATTTCAGTCAAAATATGATTTACTGTTATTAGCTGAACTTTCTAAATAGATGTGGGAATGGTTTTCTGATCCTACACATAGTATCCCACCTGCTAATGATGGAAAGACAGGATAAGGAATTAGAAAATAAGGAAACATACCACCTCAACTTTGATAACAATATTGACATTGACATATGTCATATCATTTTCATGTAAAAAATTAAGAGCTTTTCTTCTTTAGCAATTTAATTTTGAGACCCTGTAGGATCTGGTTTGGTTTATTATTTCACACGATATTGTTTGGCCGCAGCACAGTTGAAACTAAAGGGAAGATAATTACAGGTGACTGAAAGGGCAGATAATTACAGGTGACTAGTCACATGTTTTGAAGTTTGTTTCATGGCGACATGCATGGTCGTCAGGTATCAAGTTCGTCTTTTTTCGAGAGCGCATATAAAACGGTAAGACAACATATTAACATGAATTGATGTTTGCAATGATTTGGTAATTGTATAAGTTATTGTAAATAAACAAATGAAAACTATGCAGTCCATAATAAGTTATGTACTGTTGTAAACATTTAAAGGTCACTGCTGTATGTGAAACTAAGTTAGTTTTGTTTATTGTTACAGTCAAGCTCAACTCAACTCAACTCAATCAATCTTCTACGGATAAAGATGTGACGTCGCTTTTTCTTAATCATCGTTCGTTCGTTTGTTAGTTATAATAGACCCTTAAGCATGTTAACTGAATAATATTTATTATGACAAGGACACAAACAATTCCTCTGTTTCCAACCCTGTATTAGCAACAAAAACAACATCATCATGTAACTAACGCAATGTGAGACATACAATGGAAACACATTTATCTCTGTCAAACAGCCACACTCTCTAGTAACAACAACCATGTAGAAAAAGTAGAAATCTGCTTGCTCTATTTATTTCACCAATCCAACAGATTTACAATACACTTTCATGACTGACTGCCTTTAAAATGTGGGTTTTGTCTTTTAGCTTTTATGATACACATTTTGTCTTGATTGGACAAAATGACATCACTCCCTGAGTTGGAGTGATAGGTATATAAGCATTGTGTGAAGAAGAAAACTAGCCACTCCTGATGTAATTGTCAGTTATTTTTAATACGAAAGGCAAACATATGGCATAATTGAGGAACCAAAAACTGAAGCACCAGCATCTGTTTTGCACAGTTTGTGAACGTTAATTTATACATTGATGCTTCAATTAGATTGTTCGGTCAAGGTAAGCTATATTCTTTGTGACGAGACTTCATACAAGGGGAAATAGTCTGTCTCAATGTGTGTGCAGTTACTGTTTTTAAGGACTTTTGTTGATATATGTACTGTTCCAGACATTCCTTTGCGTGTACAATCCAGTGACATATAAGCCTACGCTGTTTGTATGAACATTGGCCATGATTGAGTCCAGGGAGTCTGTCAATTTTGGTATGACCTGTGTACGTTTCAAGCATGTAATAAAGACAAAACCCATGTGTTATTCAAAATGCCAGCTTTAAAATGTCACCTTATATGTGGGTGATCAATGGAGTTTCAATTCACAATCAATGATGATTATCCTTATAATCGCTCAAGTTTACACTGTGACCCATGCTGTCGGAAGTTTACAATGATGGGCATGCGTGATAAGGAGCTGGGGATTTCTTCTGACGCTATTTGGGTTTGTGGAACTGATTGGTTGGAATGAATCATGCTGACCAATGAGATAGCTAAATACTATATATACGCACCGGTTTTGTCACGTGATTACCAGTGTCCGAAATAATATAGTAGAGATAATATGATTGGGTTATACGCAAAATTTGTGCCAGGTTCCGTAAATTCAACCAATAGAAATTTATTTTGGATGTTATGCAGATTTTACGTGCGCAGGCGTAATGAGGTGGCCTTTGTTGTCCCTGAAAATCTGGGCACCACGACGATGGTTTTAGAGACAGAAGTGTCATTGCATTAGAACTAATTAGCTGTCAACGAGTTTACATGTGTGTGCAAGATGGTATGTGTTTATATTCTGTAAAAGCTTGTAGTAGAACGCTCGTACGTACATTTTTGAACAGCCGTCATACACTAGGCTCCGTTTTAAGGCAGACCGAACTGTTTTGAGCTTGCAGCTGGTTGAATGTTTATGTTTTGCCTCAGTCAAAACACACGAATTATGTGACCCACTTACGATATAAATACACCGTGTGTGGAATAGTAAAGGAACCTTTGCTAATATCGACAGTGCTTGAGAAACATTGGCAGTGTGGTTAAATACTTTCCCTCTGATATAGCGAGCAGAGACGTCGATCTGTCAAAATGCTCCTAATTAGGTCGCTCCGAACATCAGGTTACAAGAGCGGTGTTATGCCGTGTTACCTGGGCAGCGTAGAAGTACGAAAGTCATCTACACGCCATGTGTGATATACTTAAATTCAATACGTTTATGAACGATTAAATGTAGCCTAATATGTGGGTAAGAGCCCCAGTAATAGTTCCCTGGTGTAGTGTGGACAGAACTATACTCAAAGTTAAGTGATCTACAGTAGGTAGATGTGTAATTGATGGAAGGAAAGGGAGACAATTTCAGATCTCAAAATGAACTAAAGGCGCTTCTTGATGTGAAATGTTATCCAGGGTGTCTTTATCAGTATGCATTTGCTTGATTTAAGATTTAGATTTCCCTGGTTTAACTTAAACTTGATTTTTTTGTTTTTTTCCAGGATCCAGGGGATACAGGTATGTACTATTTGCATGGACATTATTCATCATCATTTTGTCTTTTCATACATAAGGCTGGTGGGGTAGAATATTGGCCTTGTAGTTAAAGTATTCAATCTTCATCAGAAGACACGAGTTCCATCCAAGATGGGTACAATGTGTGAAACCCATGTGTGGTGTTGACCTCCATGTTTTTGGTGCAGTATTGTGGCAACATAAACCATACTCGCTTGTGTATATGCATGACAAAGTCAGTAAGTAATAAGGTCTATTATCTAGGTTATTTTAGAAGCAGTAACACATTGTTTGTAAACACAATTCTCAAGAAACCTCATGGATTATTTCAACTATACATTTCCCAGCTCATAATGGTTATTCTTGCCCTTTTTCAAAACCAATCATTATTTACATTTGGTAAAAGACACTTATAGCAGATGCCCATCTTATGCTATGCTGAAGCAGTTGCATGTGTGCATAATGAATTATTGATTGCCTTTTTATCCAGATTGGGGAGGCTTAAATTTGACTGAACCGAATGAGGTTGACTCAATGATTGATGCTTATCAGAAGAATGATGTTACTACAATAGGATCTGCAGATGTCCGCTCTGACACAGTGTATGATAACACTTCCATGGGGGTGAGTAGTAGGCACAGCACACTTGGGGCAATGAATCCCTCTCTAACCACTTCCATGGGGGTGAGTAGCAGGCACAGCACACTTGGGGCAATGAATCTCTCTCTAACCACTTCCATGGGGTGAGTAGCAGGCACATCACACTTGGGGCAATGGATCTCTCTCTAACCACTTCCATGGGGTGAGTAGCAGGCACAGCACACTTGGGGCAATGGATCCCTCTCTACCCACTTCCATGGGGTGAGTAGCAGGCACAGCACACTTGGGGCAATGAATCCCTCTCTACCCACTTCCATGGGGTGAGTAGCAGGCACATCATGCTTAGGGCAATGAATCCCTCTCTAACCACTTCCATGGGGGTGAGTAGCAGGCACATCACGCTTAGGGCAATGAATCCCTCTCTAACCACTTCCATGGGGTGAGTAGCAGGCACATCACACTTGGGGCATTGAATCCCTCTCTAACCACTTCCATGGGGGTGAGTAGCAGGCACATCACGCTTAGGGCAATGAATCCCTCTCTAACCACTTCCATGGGGGTGAGTAGCAGGCACATCACACTTGGGGCAATGAATCTCTCTTTAACCACTTCCATGGTGATGAATTGCTGAATAGTTTTTAAGATGATAGGTCGAATATGGGAAGCATTTATGAACACATAAAATAAAAATTTCAACTTTAGTTTAGCATTTGAGTCATTGTTTGTTGTAGTGCTGTAAATGTCCACCGGTTGAGTCAGTATTTGTTGTAGAAGTGTAAATGTCCAACTGCTGAGTCAGTGTTTGTTGCAGTGCTGTAAATGTCCACCTGTTGATTCAGTGTTTGTTGTAGTGCTGTAAATGTCCACCGGTTGAGTCAGTGTTTGTTGTAGTACTGTAAATGTCCACCTGTTGAGTCAGTGTTTGTTGCAGTGCTGTAAATGTCCACCTGTTGATTCAGTGTTTGTTGTAGTGCTGTAAATGTCCAACTGTTGAGTCAGTGTTTGTTGTAGTGCTGTAAATGTCCACCTGTTGAGTCAGTGTTTGTTGTAGTGCTGTAAATGTCCACCTGTTGAGTCAGTGTTTGTTGTAGTGCTGTAAATGTCCACCTGTTGAGTCAGTGTTTGTTGTAGAAGTGTCAGTGTTTGTTGTAGAAGTGTAAATGTCCACCTGTTGAGTCAGTGTTTGTTGTAGTGCTGTAAATGTCCACCTGTTGAGTCAGTGTTTGTTGTAGTACTGTAAATGTCCACCTGTTGAGTCAGTGTTTGTTGTAGTGCTGTAAATGTCCACCTGTTGAGTCAGTGTTTGTTGTAGTACTGTAAATGTCCACCTGTTGAGTCAGTGTTTGTTGTAGTGCTGTAAACGTCCACCTGTTGAGTCAGTGTTTGTTGAAGTGCTGTAAATGTCCAACTGTTGAGTCAAGTAGTGTAAATGTCCACCAGTTGAGCCAGTGTGTGTTGTAGTGCTGTAAATGTCCAACTGTTGAGTCAAGTAGTGTGAATGTCCACCTATTGAGTCAGTGTTTGTTGTACTTTTTGTAGTGGTGTAAATGTCCACCTGCTTAGTCAGTGTTTGTTGTCGTGCCGTAAATGTTTACCTGTGGAGTCAGTGTTTGTCATGCTGTGAATGTCCTTCTGTTGTTTACAGGTTGATGATGACTACATGAACACATTGGTGTTGTATGATGGCTACGACAGCTACAATGAGAGTGGTGAGAGCTCAGAGGAGGATGAGGAGAGTCAAGGGGATTACTTTTCCTCCTTTCAGGGATTCACACAGTCAGGCTTCAGTAAACCCACACAGTTCCGCTTCATGAACGGGAAGGATGGCATGGGTAAGCAGGGAAATTCAGACAATGTATTTAGCTTTTCTACGCGAGAGTGTACATATCAGTTTTCAACATGACAGGGTACGAAGGAATCTGCTAGTTTGAAACAAGTGCAGTTCATGAAAGACTGGTCAATCATCCATGTGGACTACCACTTGTACCATCATATTGGTGACAGCTATAATAGAGCTGTTCTGAAGTGGTGAAAATGTAAATAGCATGAGGATGATTCCAATCCTATTGGTTGGGTGAAGGTGGTAAGTGTGGTGGCGGGTCTGAAGTATAGGGCATGAATGAACAGCTTCAAGAATTTAAATATACAGCAGTATAGCTTCTGAACAATTCATTTGACATGGATTAGCTCTTATGGTACTGTATACGATCTGTGATTTCTGTTTTTTCTTTGCAGCAACATGTGAGAAGTGTGGCACAGTTGGTATCAAACATGCTTTCTACTCCAAGTCGAAGAGATTCTGCAGCTTGTCCTGCTCTCGAAGCTTTGCAACGGCCCGCAGAGAGGGCAAACCCTCACCTCCACCATACAAGGAGGAGCCCCCACCAAAGAAACTTCACGTCTTGGCTGTGAGTGTGACTCATTTGCATCAGTTCCACAGTCACACATATGTCATTTATGTTACTTTCATTGTTAAGGAAGTGAGTGTCACTGAGGGCCATATTAGCAGGTCCTTGCTGGCAGGTGGTGGAGTAGATAGGGGGCCTCACATAGGTCCTTGCTGGCAGGTGCTGGATTTGATTTTCAAGGCCACAGCGACACTTTGAAGATTTCAGCATGTGAACCTGCATGTTAAGCTTGTCAGCGAGATACCTCAAGAACCATTCACTGGATTTTCTTCTTTGTAGACTTTCAAGACTTCTCTTAATGTTTTTTCATAAGCAATTTCTCTATTACCATATTTTGCATATTTCATGCACCATGACATTCATGGCTAGGTCAAAGTCAGTATTGAAAATATTTGTGTGTTTGAACAGCTACAGAGTAGAACAAGATATCAAGAGAGGTTGACTGGTCATGTTTTTGTTGACATTTAACTTCATCAGAACCTAGGACCTTCACTTTCAGTTTACTCTTTAAGTTTGATTTGATAATTTGCGGCGGGGGATTATGTCACCTTAGTGACAACTGCTTGTTTCTACGTTAAGTTTGTTTAAAAACAATCTTAAAAATGTCTGTTTCAGAGCAAAGGACGACAGACCCCCAAGAAGCATTCAAAGCAAAGCATTGGACATTCTCAGAAGTCTCCTGCAAGATTTGGTGAGTTGACATGATGGATGTACTGAAACAATTCAACTATTTCAAAAATCACATCTTATAAAACATGGTCACCAGTGGTACAGATAAGGTACTACTGATCCATGTATATGGTTGTGATTCATTTAGGTTTCATCTAACGTTTTGTTCTCTTGTGTAACAGACTCGTTCAGAGTATTTGACTGGGGTCCGTACCTCGTCTCCACCGGATCCCAGGCTGCACCTGTCAGTTGCTTCAAACATGTAAGTAGCACCACATACCTCATGAAACATTTGAGTAGCACTACAGACATCCTCAAACATTTGACTAGCACCACATGCATCATTTAACATTTGAGCATCGCCACACATATCTTCAAACATGTGAGTTCCGCCAAACGACTTTATGATGGTGTATTTCTACACAGAACTGGTCTGGCTTAGGGAATTGTCTGGACAATAAGAAATGAGAAAATTTCAATTGTTTTGATCCCACTTGGATTTGTAGGCAATATGAAAACCAAACACCAAGTTAAGAGCACATTATCAAACATTGAGCGTCTTTAAACTCAAGTTTGTTCCCCTATGTATTGAAAATAATCTTCTTTCATATGTTGCATGCCCCCTTGCAGGTACCAATGTCTGACTGCTGGGATCAGATGACTGTGGGGATGAAGGTGGAGGTTGCCAACAACGATAGCGACGTGGCCTGGGAGGTCTACTGGATAGCAACTGTCATCAAGATAGCAGGTAGGTTTCATTGTTGTGAAGGTAGCTGGTAGGTCCCTTCAACAAGGGAGATCCCACCTTCATCAAGGGAGATCCCACCTTCAACAAGGGAGGTCCCACCTTCAATAAGGGAGATCCCACCTTAAATAAGGGAGATCCCACCTTCAACAAGGGAGGTCCCACCTTCAACAAGGGAGGTCCCACCTTCAACAAGGGACCTTCATCAAGGGGATCCCACCTTCAACAAGGGAGATCCCACCTTCAATAAGGGAGGTCCCACCTTCAATCAAGGGAGGTCCCACCTTCAACAAGGGAGGTCCCACCTTCAATAAGGGAGGTCCCACCTTCAATAAGGGAGATCCCACCTTCATCAAGGGAGGTCCCACCTTCATCAAGGGAGGCCCCACCTTCAATAAGGGAGGTCCCACCTTCAATAAGGTAACAGGAAGTCCTGCTGTCATCTAGGTTCAATAGTCTTAAAGGTAGGTCCATTGTCAACAAGATATTAGGTATATTGAGAATTCAAATTAAACTTCATGTGAAACATAATGTTATATGCAATGGATAGATGGTGTTTACACTGGCCACTGTGTTTGTCGCCAGGGTACAAGGCACTGATGAGGTACGAAGGGTTCAGCAGCGACTCATCCAAGGACTTCTGGCTGAACCTTTGCACCCAGGATGTGCACCCAGTGGGTTGGTGCGCCACCGTAGGGAAACCCCTTGTCCCTCCCAAGAGTGAGTAGGCAATGTCTAATTGTCTAGAATACTATAGCCTCTATACTAGGGCCCAATAGAGATTAAAAGTGGTACTTGTGATTCAGCACTAAACAAAGGCTTGAAGTCAGTATCCTAATGTGTTCGTGGGGTGTCCATGTATGTCTGTGCTGTGATGTCTGAGTGGTTTGTTTGATGTTTACTCCACACTCAGCAATATTCCAGCTGTATTCCTTGCTGACAAGGTGTCTCACTTTGGATCAGGTCACTGGTTTGAATTCCAGCGTGGGTCTCGAAGATTGTTGCCTATAATAACATCACTAGTTTTCTGGTCAATTCTTGAATAGTTAAGCTGCTATCATATTGTCATATTGCGTCCTTAAACAAAATATATTTTAATACACCGTCTTAGTAAATGCTAAAATGAAAACAGTTGTAATGTTCATTGAGGCCACTTGGGTTTTTTAGAGTAAAATGTTACATATGGAAGCAACTTATTGATTTTTGGAATTCAAATGTTTATGGTTTATTAAGAAACCCAGTGGTATTAAGGTTGCTGTGTTTGTGTGGCATGAAACAGTGAATAATCATTTACAGCAATTCAACACAAGTGTTCGGACTGGAAAGATTTCTTGGTGAAGAGATTGACTGGAGCACGAACATTGCCCAATAACTTCTACAATAAGGTAAATCCTGTCTGTAATTGGGAATGTCCGATACCTCTTGCCCACCATGAGAGCATAGCAAAATACTCTGACCTAATTGATCAGGTGTCATCATTTCCCAAATATTGATGAGTAGCTTGGTTTGCCTGTTGAATTGACACGGCAGTAGCAAGTATTTGGAGTTTACTGCAGGCCTCCATGTTTTAATGATACACTGTAGCCAAGGTAACACTTGTGCCCAGATGCTAGTGATGCACTGCAACCAAGGTAACGCTTTTCCCCAGGTGCTATTGATTCACTGTAACCAAGGTAACGCTTTACCCCAGGTGCTAGTGATACACTGTAACCAAGGTAACACTCGTAAGCTAACACTCGTCCCCAGGTGCTAGTGATACACTGTAACCAAGGTAACGCTTTACCCCAGGTGCTAGTGATACACTGTAACCAAGGTAACACTTGTCCCCAGGTGCTAGTGATACACTGTAACCAAGGAAACACTTGTAAGCTAACACTTGTCCCCAGGTGCTAGTGATACATTGTAACCAAGGTAACACCTAGTGATACACTGTAACACTGTAATATGTGTTAGTGACATAGTGTGACAATAGTAGTTTCCATGTGTTAAGTGAGACAGTGTGACCATGTTTGACCCCATGTGTTAGTGTAACAGTGTGACAATGGTTGTACCCATGTGTTAGTGTAACAGTGTGACAATGGTTGTACCCATGTGTTAGTGACACAGTGTGACAATGGTTGTCTCTATGCGTTGGTGACACTGGGTAATCATGGCTATCCCCATGTGTTAGTGACATGTGTTCGTGGTTATCCCCATGTGTTAGTGACATGTGTTCGTGGTTATCCCCATGTGTTAGTGACGTGTGTTCGTGGTTATCCCCATGTGTTAGTGACATGTGTTCGTGGTTATCCCCATGTGTTAGTGACAATGTGACCATGGTTATCCCCATGTGTTAGTGACAATGTGTTCGTGGCTATCCCCATGTGTTGGTTGTGGTTATCCCCATGTGTTAGTGACCATGTGTTAGTGACATGTGTTGGTGGTTATCCCCATGTGTTAGTGACATGTGTTCGTGGTTATCCCCATGTGTTAGTGACATGTGTTGGTGGTTATCCCCATGTGTTAGTGACATGTGTTCGTGGTTATCCCCATGTGTTAGTGACGATGTGTTGGTGGTTATCCCCATGTGTTAGTGACAATGTATCCCCATGTGTTAGTGACAATGTGACCATGGTTGTACCCATGTGTTAGTGACAATGTGACCATGGTTATCCCCATGTGTTAGTGACAATGTGATTATGGTTGTGTCCATGTGTTAGTGACGTGTGTTCGTGGTTATCCCCATGTGTTAGTGACGTGTGTTCGTGGTTATCCCCATGTGTTAGTGACATGTGTTGGTGGTTATCCCCATGTGTTAGTGACGTGTGTTCGTGGTTATCCCCATGTGTTAGTGACATGTGTTGGTGGTTATCCCCATGTGTTAGTGACGATGTGTTCGTGGTTGTACCCATGTGTTAGTGACAATGTGACCATGGTTGTATCCAGGTATTGGAGAGTATGGAGAACCACAAGTTCCACCGAGGAGTCCAGGTGGAGGTGGTCGACAAGATGTGTGTGTCTGCCATGCGGGTTGCCATCGTGCATGAAGTGATTGGCGGGCGTCTACGGCTAGCTTATGTTGACAAGAGAGTAAGTATACTCATCCGTAGAGCTTCTTGATGACTGGGAGTAAACATGTTCCTATTGTTCTAACACATTAATTTTTCTTATCCTGACTCATGATCTTTTGCTTATCTCCCTTTCCTTTTCGAATGGTAGTGGAACACTTGAATCCCTTGAAGTTCCCGCAGTGGACGTATAAATACACTCACCCATGAGTTACCTCCCTTTTGCCCTTTTTCCGCGCAAACAGTCATGTGACCAGCCTTACTTGTCACTCTCTCCCTTTTCGCCCAAGCGGATGTTTGGGCGAGCACTGGCGTCCCTTATACGGCATTATATCCTTTTTATTTAGGTCCTATTCTTCAAAATTACACTGTATATGGATTTGGCAATAACTACTATGTATTATTTGTAATAATTTGTAAAAATTATTGTATTTATGTCATAAATTCATCGTAATGTAACTTTGTTTACATTTCATGAAATCTTGCAGTGTTTGCAGGCACAGGTTATCCGTGGCTGATCCTCACCCCTAGTGCCCTTCGTGCACAAAACCATGTTCTTCCAGCTTGCGCTGTACTTATTGTGTTGATTTATCAAACCTTCAGTTTAATCCATATTTGTCTTATATATATGGGGGCGGTGGAGTAGCCTAGTGGTTAAAGCCATGGATCGGGTGAGGAAGTCATTCTCAATGGTCACGGCTGATAAAACAGGAAGATCAGCGGCGTAAAACTACATCAGTCAGTCAGTCTTATATATGTTGCCATGGATCGGGTGAGGAAGCTACAAGTCACGGCTAAAACAGGAGATCAGCCTACATACCATATGTTGCTTGCTACTGCTGAAGTTCATTATACTGATGCTATGTTTAGTATGTTGCAGGGGCAGTCTGCTGGTATCGGGGCCAAGAAGAGATCGGCTACAACGCCGTTGACTCCGACTCAAGCTAAGAAAAAGACGTCATCTTCTACATCGCAGAAGAAAGCATCTGTTACCAGATCAGAGGGTAAATCTACGTGTGCTAGTAAGTCAACGCAGCAGAAATCCTTCAATGAAGAGATATTAACTCCACATCAAGTAGACGTTTTGATGGCCCCCCCGTTACTTCTACCCGAAGTACCTACGAGATCAGCGACTATATCGACTTCTAGTAGATGCCTACTCACAGCTCTACATCCGCGAACCCTCAACGTTCGAGAACATTGAAGGACCCATCTCCTACACCTAGCCGCTCTAGATCAAGATCTCATATCTCTCAGACGTTCGCGAAGTCACTCATCACGAGACAGAGGTTCGTGAAGAGAAGGCTCACATCACAGAAGTTCGCGAAGGGATACATCTAGCGACAGACGTTCGCGAAGAGATAGCTCACATCACAGAGGTTCGCGAAGAGATGAATCTACAGATAGAGGTTCGCAAAGAGAGCACTCTCAAGATAGATGTTCGCATAGGGAGGAATCTTCAGATAGAGGTTCGCGAAAGGATGATGAAGGTTCGAGAAGGGATACAGGTTCGCAGATGGAAGAGTCGCAGAGGCCTAGCTCTAATAATCAGGAGACTCTGGATCAGCAAGCAAACTTCGTCTTCCCAGACTCAGAGGTTACAGCGTGGATTGCCAGCGGGTTGAAATTGGAGTCTCCTTCTAAGGAAGGATAAAGATGAAATCAACACTTATATGATGCGTAACGACTCCGTCACTATCCCGCCGATTGAACCTATATCCAAGGTACCCTCTAACCTACGCACAGCTTTCGCTTTCTCGGTCTACTAACCTTGGCGCAGGGTTTGACTCGCACAGGAAGGTTACAACTAAGTCCGCTGCAACGGTTCCTGACAAAACATCTAGACAGCGTCAACCCTATCTTGCTGCCAGACAACCTCAAGAGGTATCTACTATGGTGACACACAGGTCGGACGTTTGCGTGGGGACCTATTTACAAGAGGCGGCCTTCGACTCGCATCTCTACATAGACGCTTCGATACAAGGCTGGGGTGCGCATCTCAACAATCAAGTTGCATCAGGAAGGTGGTCCAAAATAGAGCAGCATCTTCACATCAATCTGCTGGAGATGAATGCCTTGAGCAACGCCTTACAACTATGGTCGAGTTCGCTGAACAACAAAATGCTGATGGTCCACACGGACAACTCTACAGTGGCATTCTCCATAATTCGGCAGGGATCCACAAGGTCTCCAAGCCTGCTACAGCTCACATTCCAGTTGTTCCACATCACGGAGGAAGCAAACATCTGGATAAAGGCGTGTCACATACCCGGAGCCAAGAACGTACTTGCAGACGCTCTATCCCGACTACTGCACCCGTCACCTACCGAATGGATGCTCCATCCAGAAGCGTTCCGGCTCATCATAAGGGAAATAGGATCCCCTTGCATAGACCTGTTTGCCACGAGGTTCAACAAACAAATACAGACGTTTGTCTCACCAGTTCCAGATCCTCAAGCCTGGGCAGCAGATGCACTGAGCATATCTTGGGAAGAACTAAACGCTTACTCGTTTCCTACCCCTATATTACTTCCGGAAGTACTGTTGAAGATCAAACAGACACAGGCGCTACAACTGACTTTGGTCCACAATACTGGCCAGCGAGAGTATGGTTCCTAGACCTAATAGAAGATCTCGGAAGTCCAACAATCAAGTTACCAGATTGGCCGAACCTACTCATACATCCGCACACCAAGTCCATGGAACCCGACAGTGTTCCAGCTACACGTTTGGACCGTATCAAAACATGCTTGAAGAAAAGAGGATACTCCGCCAGGGCAGCCAAGTCAGTAACGCTAGCGTTATTCAGATCTACTTGTAACCTGTATGATGACAAATGGCGAAAGTTTGAGACTTATGCAAGGCGGAAAGGCTTCACTGCGATGAAAGCTACTCGTCCTCAAGTGGCGGAATACCTGTGTCATCTGAAAGATTCAACATTATCTACATACCTCACCGCCATCAGTACAGTGATTACCATGAAAACAGGCATCAAGTTGACGAAAGTTCCAGAATTACTTGCTCTGCTGAGATCTTTTAAGCTGGAGGACCAGCAAAAGAAGTTCAGAGCTCTGGCCTGGGATCTGAATGTAATTCTACGTCATCTTATGAGTGATGCCTACGAACCTCCAGACCAGACTACCTTCGAGCTGCTGACACACAAGACTCTGTTCCTGCTTGCGCTAGCCACGGCAGCTCGAATATCAGAGATACATGCGCTGGACTTTGGTCGAACCAGATTCAACAAGGGGCAACATGCTGCAGTTCATCTAGGACTTAGATGGGACTTCATTGCCAAGAACCAACTACCTGGTCAGCCAGATAGACAGTTCCACGCATCAGCGCTTATCTACAATCCTGGCCCAGTGGCCCTCGCCCAGTGGATATATTCTTCAAGGAAGACAAGTTGAAGACGCCTCTTCAGCAGCACAGCAACTAACGGTACCTCAAAGGCGCTGAGTTGGAAAATCTCACCCTTTATCACGTTGACTTGTTGATAACTTTTACTAAGGGAAAAGTTTTAGTTTGAAAGTCCATGCGCACAGTCTAGGACAGGCTAGCATGAGTGATTAAAGATCCTGTACGGGTAAAGATCTTACCTGTACGTGAAGGGGTCGCAACTCATTTATGATAAAGATCTTATCATAATCTATGGGTTGTTATGAGATATCTAGTAATAGGAGATACTAGTTTATCTGTAGCCACATGAATCAACATGATTCAACTTGTCTGTGACTGCAGTAAGACAAGAAAGTGGTCCCCCCAAGTTATAACGGAAGAATAGGATCACGGAAATGCCGTTTCGCAGTTCCCATGGGGGGATACAGGACGTATCTAAGGACAGCTGATGAATCCACAAAGTGGCTTGACCCACCACCAATCCGTTGGATTCTATATGCAAAAGATCACGAGTCAGGATAAGAAAAATATGAAATTTTTCAAGTAAAATGGATATTTTTATACTTATCCTGACTCATGATGAGAAGCCCTCCCAACCTCCCCGCTGAAGACACTTGAGATTTCACAGCAGATCCAAGTGCATGGGCAGAAAATCAGGAGAGACAAGTAAGGCTGGTCACATGACTGTTTGCGCGGGAAAATGGCAAAAGGGAGGTAACTTGTGGGTGAGTGTATTTTTACGCCCGCTTCGGGAACTTCAAGGGATTCAAGTGTTCCACTACCATTCGAAAAGGAAAGGGAGATAAGCAAAAGATCATGAGTCAGGATAAGTATAAAAATATCAATTTTACTTGAAAAATTACATTTTTGTCGATCTGTAAGAAGTTGAGGTTAACATTATTGATACAGTGATTCAGACATCTGTAGGAAGAGACTACCTTATCTGTGTCTGGGCTGAAAGTGATTCTGTGTTGAATCTGTGTCTGCACTGAAAGTGATTCTGCATTGAATCTCTGTTGAACCTGTGTCTGGACTGAAAGTGTTTCTGTGTTGAATCTGTGTGTAACTTGTGTCTGGACTGAAATTGATTCTGTGTTGAACCTGTGTCCTGACTGTAACTTAGTGTAAGTGATTCTGTGTTGAACCTGTGTCCTGACTGTAACTAAGTGTAAGTGATTCTGTGTTGAACCTGTGTCCTGACTGTAACTTAGTGTAAGTGATTCTGTGTTGAACCTGTGTCCTGACTGTAACTTAGTGTAAGTGATTCTGTGTTGAACCTGTGTCCTGACTGTAACTTAGTGTAAGTGATTCTGTGTTGAGTCTGTGTTGAACCTGTGAGTGATTCTGTGTTGAACCTGTGTCCTGACTGTGTTTGCCTTATCCAGGATGAGAATGATGAGTTCTGGTGTGACATGAAGTCTCCACTCATCCATCATGTGGGATGGGCCCAGCGAGCAGGACACAAGCTTCATGCCACTCCAGGTCAGTATTCCATTAGGGCATTGTCTTCTGTGGAGAATAGGGTAATTCAGTGTGTTGTAAATTGATAACAAACTCTATGAAATATAGATCATTTCAGGGAGTAATTTTTTTGCAGCTTAGAGAAATGTATGTTTTCTCATGCATATTCATAATTTAACGCAGCTGATTCTAACACATAACTCTGATAATTTGAACTAGTCATATAGTGGAAGAAAAAACTGAACAAGTTTGTAAGTGGATGTACGAGAGAGTTGACAGGTTGAGGACTGGTTTCAGAATACAAGGCAGAGTGTTTGACCAAGATAACGATGCAGAAGTTTCACCCCGATGATTCCATGCCGGACATGTTTCCCAAGGTGAGAAACCTCAGTCAATAGTTCTGTCTTTGTGCTACATCACATGCTCCAGTGCTACCATTGTACTGAAATATATGAACTAAAGAGAAGGGGTTTATTAAATCCAAATGTAAATATCTAAATGTAGCCCTCACTACGTATTTTACATGGCAGTAACATTGCAGGCCACAGAACCTACATGTTCTGTTAGCACTTGTGTTGTGTGTCTTCAGTGGATGGCCAGGAATGTCTTGTCACCTCAGTATTTCTTCAAAATGTTGGGTAGGAATTTGAAACCAAGACAGTCGTTAATGTTTGTTGTGTTTCAGACAAGTGAACCTCCTCATGGATTGAAGTTCCAGGCCGGGATGAAGCTGGAAGCCATTGACCCTCTCAATCTCTCCACTATTTGTGTTGCTACTGTTATGAAGGTAGGTCTGTTCCAGGGGATTCTTACCTGATAATGCAGTAAATTCCAAAGCATCAAATAGTTAATAGTGTGTTTATATATTCTAGTGCATTTAGGGGCTGGGCAATGTTATTTTTAATCCAAGCAAATTTTAAACCAACAAATGTGATAGGCTGTGCAAAATTGAGTCTCAAACTCTTGAACAGTTTTGAGTAAACTAACACACTGTATGCATCTTATGTTTTGGAGTAAACTATGACATCATCATGATTGGCTGTTGACAAGTGAGTTTTATTTGTCCATCTCAGTGTCTACGGAATAACTTCTTGATGATTGGAATTGATGGCTCCATCGCCCAGAACGGAACTGACTGGTTCTGCTACCATGCCTCATTGATGGCTCCATCGCCCAGAACAAAGTCCATGTGTAGCCGGAGGTACATCCTCCCATAGGAACTGACTGGTTCTGCTACCATGCCTCATCCTCCCAGTCCATGTGTAGTATTCTTCCCTGTGGGCTTCTCCCAAGTCCATGTGTAGTATTCCCCACCTGGAGGTACATCCTCCCATAGTCCATGTGTAGTATTCCCCACCCGGAGGTACATCCTCCCATAGTCCATGTGTAGTATTCCCCACCCGGAGGTACATCCTCCCATAGTCCATGTGTAGTATTCCCCACCCGTATTCCCACCCGGAGGTACATCCTCCCATAGTCCATGTGTAGTATTGGAGGTACATCCTCCCATAGTCCATGTAGTATTCCCACCCGAGGTACATCCTCCCATAGTCCATGTGTAGTATTCCCCACCCGAGGTACATCCTCCCATAGTCCATGTGTAGTAGGTACATCCTCCCATAGTCCATGTGTGTAGTATTCCCCACCCGGGAGGTACATCCTCCCATAGTCCATGTGTGTAGTATCCTCCCACCCGAGGTACATCCCCACCTCCCATAGTCCATGTGTAGTATTCCCCACCAGGAGGTACATCCTCCCATAGTCCATGTAGTATTCCCCACCCGAGGTACATCCTCCCATAGTCCATGTGTAGTATTCCCCACCCGGAGGTACATCCTCCCATAGTCCATGTGTAGTATTCCCCACCCGGAGGTACATCCTCCCATAGTCCATGTGTAGTATTCCCCACCCGGAGTAGTTCCCCCCAGGTACATCCTCCCATAGTCCGTATTCCCCACCCGAGGTACATCCTCCCATAGTCCATGTGTAGTATTCCCCACCCGGAGGTCCCATAGTCCATGTGTAGTATTCCCCACCCGGAGGTACATCCTCCCATAGTCCATGTGTAGTATTCCCCACCCGGAGGTACATCCTCCCATAGTCCATGTGTAGTATTCCCCACCCGGAGGTACATCCTCCCATAGTCCATGTGTAGTATTCCCCACCCGGAGGTACATCCTCCCATAGTCCATGTGTAGTATTCCCCACCCGGAGGTACATCCTCCCATAGTCCATGTGTAGTATTCCTGTGTCAAGCAGGGATCTTTGTTGGTTATCGACCTGCATCTCTCTAGGCTGACCTTCCACCTCCATGTTGTAATGTAACTGAAATACTCGTGAGTGCTGTGACACTCAACCACTTACTTTGTGCATCTGTGTTACCTTTCTTGTCTCCTTAGGTTGTTAGCATGAATCTTGAAGTATCATGATTGACTGTTTCAGGTCATAAAGGCCCCTTCAAGTGGTTTGACTACTTGAAACACACAAAAGCTGTTGCAGCCCCGGTGAAGCTGTTTGATAAGGTAAGCTTGCAGTGTGTTTCTATCTTATCCATTGTTTGCCATGGTAAGCTAGCGGTATGTGTGTCTCATTGGTGAACTGTTTGACATGAGATAGCATGTGTCTGTCATTGGTGAACTGTTTGACATGGTGAAATAGCATGTGTCTCTCATTGGTGAACTGTTTGACATGAGATAGCATGTGTCTCTCATTGGTGAACTGTTTGACATGGTGAAATAGCATGTGTCTCTCATTGGTGAACTGTTTGACAAAGTGAGATAGCATGTGTCTCTCATTGGTGAACTGTTTGACATGGTGAGATAGCATGTGTCTCTCATTGGTGAACTGTTTGACATGGTGGGCTAGCTTATGTCTGTCATTACTGCCTCTGTGGTGTAGTGGTTAGAGCGTCCTCCTGGAGAGCGGAAGGTCGCGGGTTCAATCCCTGATCGCGTCATACCAAAAGACGTTAAAATATGGTAGTTGTTGGTCCCTGCCTGGCGCTCGGCATTAATGGGTACAAGAAGGACTGGTCGGCTCGGAGTCAGTATAATGTGTCTGAGTGGGGTATTCATGCTTCACTGCGGCATGGTATCTCAGTGAGCTAGCACTATAAAACCAGCTTAAGTCTGGGCTAGTACAAACAACCGCACACACACATACACATACACATACACACGCATGTACATCGTCATATGAGAGAAATATTCTCAAGCACAACATTAAACCCAATTTCACCTCATCACTTATGTCTGTCATTGGTGAACTGTTTGACATGGTGCGCTAGCTTATGTCTGTCATTGGTGAACTGTTTGACATGGTGAGCTAGCTTATGTCTGTCATTGGTGAACTGTTTGACATGGTGAGCTAGCTTATGTCTGTCATTGGTGAACTGTTTGACATGGTGAGCTAGCTTATGTCTGTCATTGGTGACCTGTTTGACATGGTGAGCTGGCTTATGTCTGTCATTGGTGAACTGTTTGACATGGTGAGCTAGCTTATGTCTGTCAATGGTGAACTGTTTGACATGGTGAGCTGGCTTATGTCTGTCAATGGTGAACTGTTTGACATAGTGAGCTGGCTTATGTCTGTCATTAGTGAACTGAGTGATGTAGTAAGTTAGCAGTGAGTATCTGTGATAGATCAACCATTTGACAGAGTAAGCAAGCAGTATGTGTCATTTATGGGTGAACCATTTGAAATGGTGAACTAGTAGCATGTGTCTGTCATTGGTGAACTGTTTGACATGGTGGGCTGGCTTGTGTCTGTGATTGTTGAACTGTTTGACATGGTGGGCCAGCAACTGGTGTCTTTGTGCGTGATTGTTGGCAATTTCCATACATGCTGGGCTTGCTATTTATTCCAGGAAGGTTACATGTATTTTGATGAATAAGCAAGTTTAGCAAGACAATTATCTGTTTGATAGGAAATTCCCAAACATGGATTCAAACCAGGAATGAAGGTTGAAGCTGTGGACTTGATGGAACCAAGGTAGGACTTTGTCAAACAACTCCCTAGGTGTTGATGGCTTTAAGTTAAGTTTACTAGGGAAATGTACATAAGTCTTAGGAACATAGCTTGCTGCTTTAGTCCTGTCAGTTTATGGGCAGTTTGCAGGTTATGTACAGGCTGAATTTTTGTTTCTGGAATATTGCTGACTGCAGCAGAAAACAACTAAATCATTAGATTATAAGTCTGTACACAAATCTGAACACATAGGTCCTGGACAGTAACAAGAAGCTAGGGGTCATGATTGTGTGGACATCCATTCACTCCATGTTGATGTGTGTAGGCTCATCTGTGTTGCCACGGTGACGAAGGTGGTTGGCCGACTGATGAAGATCCACTTTGATGGTTGGGAGAATGACTATGACCAGTGGGTGGATGCCCAGACTCCGGACCTCTACCCCGTTGGTTGGTGCGAGATCATGAACTACCCTCTGGAAGGACCCCGCATTAAAAGTAAATCCCATAAAGACCCATCAAGGCTGAATGGTCATGAGGGTTGTATTTCCAAGATGTGATGTGCATGTTTGCAATTTTGTGATTCATAATCATGATTTGTCAGTGCTGACTAAATGCTAAATAAATGGCAACTGAATGCAAGGGCTGTAACTCACTAAACTCAGGGGAGGTAACTCACTAAACTCAGGGCGGTAACTCACTAAACTCAGGGGAGGTAACTATCTAAACACATGGAAAAGTAAGTGACTGCATCTATGGAGGCATATTTTGTGTAAGGATAGTGACTTGATGTCATGACATGGGAGTAAAGTAAATGTTTTGTTTAATGTGCGTCAGTGACAAGACAGCAGCGATATTTGTTTGATATTTGCCGATATTTCATGATGAATCTTCCAGCTGAACAGGTCTTGGCGCCGTCCCCACCCATTCCAAAAAAGAAGAGAGGCAAGACGCAGATTTACAAGGGACCCAGGAAGAGTAGGTGTCACTAGATCTGTATAAGAGGCATAATATGTGCTTGTTACACCTTGCTGGCTGCATAGATTGACAAAATAGGATCAGCTGTGATTACACTATGCCATTTAGAAATTGGTCAAATGTAGCATATGTTATATTTGGGATTCCAGGATTCAAACCCACACCCTCAGAGTCAGGCACCTAATCGCCAGCACACAGTCAGTTGCCTAACCTGCTCAGCCACCGCGACATCCACAAGAATGGAAGTCGGAAAACTGGTAGTCTTAGACTGCAGACTTTGTGTACCCCTCTGATAAGGGTTGAAAACCCAGATGGGACTCAACCCAACTTAAGTACTAGAATCTGTACTCTATTAAGAAAGTGTAATCCCAAATATAAGATATGTTACATCAGCTGGTTACAATAACTAACTGACATTTGTCAACCACTTGCATCATGATGGTAACATTGCTGACATGCTAACGCTATTCAGTGATAAGTAATTAAGGTGTTCACACCAAGGTTATGTAACACTGGCATGGTCGTGCTTGTATACACAGGATGAACACCTCAAACACGATGAGATGTTAGATCACTGATACAGCTGAATCTCATTAAGTAGAACCTGGATAACTGAAAACCAAAGAATATAGAACAGTTCTGTTTGTTCTGGTTTGCTCATCAAGGATTAGTCCCTATTGTTACTGATGCCCCAAGTGTTGGAATACATTCAGAAGGCGTCACACAGTGCCTGTTGTACTACCTGTATAGTTGCTGTGACCAGGGTTATTCTTACCAACCACATTGTCTACATGTTTCTTGTCTTCAGAGAGGAAATCAAAACCACTTGGAAAGCCTCTGCCGCCAAACTTTAAGTTTGTGTCATCTTTTGGAGATGAAGATGATGTAATCTGTCCCCCCCATGTACCACTCCCCCCGGAGACTGTTGCCGCTACGTTACCCCCCCTGCTGGACCCCTCAAACCCCAGTGAGCTTGTAAAGCCACCTACAGGTAAACAGATGGTTGGAGCAAGGGTTCACTGTATGTCAGGTCATGTAGTAACTATGTGTTATGTAATCATACTATCCAGACAGTGTATCGCTGACAGCCAATGTTACCTGGCACTGAATGGCAACAGCCATAGATTGCTATCAGTGTCTTGCTACACTCCTTGTTTCCTGACAGTGTCTTGCTACACTCCTTGTTTCCTGACAGTGTCTTGCTACACTCCTTGTTTCCTGACAGTATCTTGCTACAGGAAATGTCATTCTAAATTCTACTAGTTTGCTGATTTTGTACGCTTCTGTAGTTTGTATGTTGACAATACAGCCCTAGGGTCAGGTATCTGGTTACTGATGTCATCTTCTGTTTCAGTCAAGACAGAAGGGGTGGATACACCTCAGTTAGGGGCAGTGGAGGTTCCCCCTCCCATCCTCAGCCCGAATGGTCCAGGTGATCACACCCCTTCCCCAGCCACCACAACGGTCATGCCAACCCTCACACAAAACTTGGCCCCAAGGGCAGATAACTCTAACAAGGATGATGGTGCAGCTCATCCCAGTGTAGAACCTGGGTCCACTCCAGTTCTCCTAACAACAGGTAGGGTTAACTAAAATATCCTAGTTGGTACACAAGGGAGGGTTAACCGTAAGATCTTTACCTGTAGAACAAGAATGGTTGACTCATTCACACAGATCAGTGCTAAGAAAGGAGAACGATTTACTGTTGTATTTGTTATCCACACACTGTTGTAGAACTGTAATTTGATATCATTTTGTTTTGTGTTTATGTTTAGTTGCAAAAATTACTCTTTCAATGAATGAATAATACTTTATATGACACTTTTCCTCTGTTCCAGTTGAACCAAAGTAATTCCTGATGCAAAATGAGGATGCATTTGTTGTTGGCGAACAAATGTGAAAGTGTGACCCTAAGCTGTGCCCATCTGTGATTCCACCACAGCAAGTCATCTCACATAATACATTACTGTACATATGTCGGAGAATCATCTCATTCATAATATCATAGAATCATGATAGCAAATGAGTCAGTTCCCTGTCTTGTTTCATCTATGTCTCACTGAATCAAGATCACTCTGGACATGTTTCGAATGTCAAGGGTCTCGGTATGAGGCCGACCTGCAGAAAGTCAGCCAATCAACAGTACTATGCAGGAAGATCCTACAGAAGATCACTTGTCTCTATCCATGTGTGAAGAGGACAGGACCATAGTAACTGTCCTTTCAAATCTAACGATGGTTACAAATTACTGATGTATTCCTCTCCACAAAGTTTACCGAACCCAAGTCAACAGGCCTCAGGAGACCACCAGTAGCATATGAAGGAAGTGCAGATGTCGTATGCCACATACACTGTTGTGGACTGCCCACCATGCTGGCTTACTTCATGCATTGACAGAATAATCAGTGCCAGGATGTCAAGATTACCCGCGATATGAATTACATTTTCTTCAAGAATATTTTATGCCCATCTTTGAAGCTGTGTTGATGGACATTCTGCTGCTGCTGAAGCAGGCTGTGGGAGTACAGTCGTCGTCGTCGTCGTCATGACAGGATGGAGAGAAGCTGCGGTGTCTTGTCATACATAGCAGATCTGTCTCAGTGATTCAGTATTTTTCCTCAGTCACTTGTTGTTAACAGGGCGGTGGTCACCATGGCAACAAACCAAGGCATGTGCTGAAACGCATTGTGTGAATCTGACACGTGTTGTGAAGAGTGTCGGATGACAGAGCTCCAGATAAGATTTAGCTCATGTGGGTACTGTACCCACTGTATTTTTTTGGAGTGGGTATTATGAATGTTGAATGGGTATTTCATTTTCCGTTACCCACTGCTTTCAAATATGTGCGTATTTCAGTCATTTTACTCACATAAGTATTTTGTCATTGAGTAAGTTTACTAAGCAGGTATGTTCTGCCTCATGTCATACCTAATCAAAACCAACTTAAATATAATGGAAATGATTCATAAAAAACTCATCCTATACTGACAGTACAACACTTGTCCTATACTAAGAGTACAACTTGATAGCAATCGAGGTCTTTTTCATTACGCAAGCAATTTTTCTAAATATATTCCGTACGCATTTGTTTTAAACTTGTTGCGTATCAAACATTTAAAATGCGTAATTTGTACGCAACAATTATTTTTCAATGCGTAATTGGAAATTTTCTATGCGTATTTTACCCGGATACGCAGCTTATCTGGGCATCTGGATGACCAATTCAGATCGACCATCTGTCCTCAACTAGATGCCTCTGTAAGATCGGACATATGTATGCGAGGCATCGTTCTTGTTGATATTGTGTTCATTTTAGAAAATACCCCACCCTTAACTTAGAAAACAAATACTTTTTGTATAATTGGAATAATCATGAAATGGTTAGGTACTTTGTTTCCTTAATGAGTGAAGTGTTTGTGCTATCTATTCAAATGGTCAAATTACATTAGCCATGAACTGTACAATGTCTGTCTCATCAAGCATGGATGTTTTGATGGTGGATGCGTTCTAGGAATGTAAATATGTTACATGAATACTGGGTGAGTTTAAAGCATTTATTTATTTGTTGGTTTTTTTTTTATCCTCTGATGAGAGACTTTGCAGTTAAGGGCAAGAAAGGGAACAAGTGGTGTTTCTTATAAGTGCTAACAACAAGTGTGTGGATTGTTTGCTCCTAAGTGCTATCTGCAGGGTCCAGCTTGTTTGTTTATTCATGTAAAAACAGTAGCAAAACTGGCTGCGATGATGTGCAGAACTGGTATTTCATCCCGGCCAGGGTAACATTGGGTCTACATGATGGATCAAGCTGGCAGGGCCACAACTCCTCCACATTAGTTTGCTAGTACTGGTTGCAGGACGTGGATTCAGATCTTATTGTCATCCCCAGTCCATCCCTCCTTTCTACTCTTGCATTTTGTGATTTTTGTAAATCGTTTTCTTCAGGCTCCCTGGGATAAAAGTAACTCATCCATGTAAATGGTGAGGTAAAAAGTTTACGTTTGTGCAGTTGGTCTGTTTGTTTTATTGGTTAGGAAACAAAGATGTCAGTTGTGTAAAGTGCTGAATTTCCTGCTCCAAGCTGCACCTCGCCTAGATGCCGCTTGAGTTCTCTCATCTTATTTTAGATAAAATCCTGTAAATACGTTGCGGACTGAAGAGGAAGTAGGAAAGTGAGTGAGTGAGTGGAGGGATACCAGTCTGTTCTTTGGGCAAGTCAACAACCTGGATTGTATAATCAACACAACAATTGCCATGATTTTGAATTCATTTGCAGTGGTGGGAATGAACCCGATTTGTTCACCAGCCATGACACATAGCTTGATCCACAATGGAAGATACGACACATACTCAGGATCATCAGACAAATTCTGACTTCTTTTGGGAACTGAGTTTTTGCTTTGCAATCGCTCTGATTACTTCAAACAAGAATTGTTATGCAATGTCAAGTTGTTGGAGGGAACATTACTAGCAATACTGTCATGTGCAGAAACAACCCCCAACCAACCTATGTCTTGACCATTGACATGTTGCCCGAGAAATCAGCTGATGTCTTGACAATTGACATGTTGCCCGATAAATCAGCTGATGTCTTGACCATTGACATGTTGCCCGAGAAATCAGCTGATGTCTTGACCATTGACATGTTGCCCGAGAAATCAGCTGATGTCTTGACCATTGACATGTTGCCCGAGAAATCAGCTGATGTCTTGACCATTGACATGTTGCCCGAGAAATCAGCTGATGTCTTGACCATTGACATGTTGCCCGAGAAATCAGCTGATGTCTTGACCATTGACATGTTGTCTGAGAAATCAGCTGATGTCTTGACCATTGACATGTTGCCCGAGAAATCAGCTGATGTCTTGACCATTGACATGTTGCCCGAGAAATCAGCTGATGTCTTGACCATTGACATGTTGTCCGGGAAATCAGCTGATGTCTTGACCATTGACATGTTGCCCGAGAAATCAGCTGATGTCTTGACAATTGACATGTTGTCTGAGAAATCAGCTGATGTCTTGACCATTGACATGTTGCCGAGAAATCAGCTGATGTCTTGACCATTGACATGTTGTCCGAGAAATCAGCTGATGTCTTGACCATTGACATGTTGTCCGGGAAATCAGCTGATGTCTTGACCATTGACATGTTGTCTGAGAAATCAGCTGATGTCTTGACCATTGACATGTCCACCGAGAAATCAGCTTATGTCTTCATGAAGAAAATGTCAGTCACCAGTGAACATCAAGTGAAATGTGGGCAAGTCTGCAGCCAGTGTTATGCTATGTTGTGTGGAAGAGTATTTGTGTTGAGATTTTCAAATATTTTAAGCATGATCCCTTTGAGGAGTAAAAAACAATGTTATGACTGATAAAATCTATGTGAGTGAGTCATTTCACTTTCACAATCTGGTTTAGTGAGAGGCCTGCCAGCACAGGCTTTTTCAGTCAAGGAGACCAAAGAGCACAGGCTTATTCAGACATGTACGCCCGGCACCACGCCAAGCACCACAGGCTTCTTCAGCCAAGGAGGCCAGGCAGCACAGGCTTATTCAGCCAAGGAGGCCAGGCAGCACAGGCTTATTCAGCCATGTAGGCCAGGCAGCACAGGCTTCATCAGCCAAGGAGGCCAGGCAGCACAGGCTTCATCAGCCAAGGAGGCCAGGCAGCACAGGCTTATTCAGACATGTAGGCCAGGCAGCACAGGCTTCTTCAGCCAAGGAGGCCAGGCAGCACAGGCTTCATCAGCCAAGGAGGCCAGGCAGCACAGGCTTCATCAGCCAAGGAGGCCAGGCAGCACAGGCTTCATCAGCCAAGGAGGCCAGGCAGCACAGGCTTCATCAGCCAAGGAGGCCAGGCAGCACAGGCTTCATCAGCCAAGGAGGCCAGGCAGCACAGGCTTCATCAGCCAAGGAGGCCAGGCAGCACAGGCTTCATCAGCCAAGGAGGCCAGGCAGCACAGGCTTCATCAGCCAAGGAGGCCAGGCAGCACAGGCTTCATCAGCCAAGGAGGCCAGGCAGCACAGGCTTCATCAGCCAAGGAGGCCAGGCAGCACAGGCTTCATCAGCCAAGGAGGCCAGGCAGCACAGGCTTCATCAGCCAAGGAGGCCAGGCAGCACAGGCTTCTTCACGGTCATCTGTCCTCATTTGCCATGTGTAGGGAGTTGTCTCAGTGATCACTTGGAAATGACTCCTGCCATGTTTCCATGGTAACAGGGCACATCTCTTGACAGAATATACTTTGTTTTCACAAGTCATGTATTGTCTCCACTGAAATGTTTTGGTGTGGAACATAACTTCTCACTTGATGAACTGTCACTCTGTGGTGTTTATCGAGCTGTTTGTTGTTTTGGTTGTGAAGTCTGCCTACGTAGTGCAAGTGTGTATGCAGACTGTGTAAGAGATATAGAAACTCCGTTATAACTGCCCTAGCTTATGTCCCAGAAGTCAGGATTCCATCTTGTGTCTTTTGATTGCTGTCAGACTGTGATCAGTTCAACATCAGGAGTTATTGACTTGAGTCACATTTCTTAATTTTCAGTTTCTTTCCATACAAATATTTATCAAAACAGCAGATGAATAGGTTGTAAACACAATGACAGGTTGTTTTAGAATGCTTCAATCATTATGACAATAGAACTCCAAATGTTTTCTCTATATCTGCAACATGAGATTTTGTAAGTCAACACATCGCCTTGTCATTGACAAGGTTCGATGTATATTTAATTATGCCATCATATTGATCACATTGATGTGGTTCTATGTGTAATTCATCATCTCGATCACACTGACAAGGTTCTATGTAATTGGTCACTTTGATCACTTTGACAAGATAAATACATCACATTGATCACGACAAGGTTTTTTGTGTAAAATGTCCGCACCCTGATCCTGATGACAGGGTTCCATGCTGTTTTGTATTGGTTGTACAGACAACAGATTGTAAACTGGTTACGTTGAAGGATTCTGTTCTTGTTGATGCCCCGTTCCACTACGCTGTCAGTGAGAGGACTGTCATTAGCCTGTGTTCAAGTAATGGAGTAGTGATACTCACCTAGCTACCAGTTATACCAGGACTCTTGTATTGGGGGGGTGTTGTTATGGACACTCGACTGAAGTAACACAAGTTATGTGAAACTTGTCCTGTTGGGAGTTCAATATCGGAGTATCTCGGAGGTGATTTAACAAAAGTTATTCAATATACGAAACCTGGAAATAGGTTTGAGTAAACTTGGTTTTAAAAGGCCTAAAGCTTTTCACCTCTGTTGATGATGCCACAGAGTGAAATAGTGAATATCATGAATAGTTACCGGTGCTGAGCATGAATAATTACACCGTCATGAATTGTGTCCATAAACCTATTAAGAACACTGCCTGTTTTCTACTAATCTGAAGTTGTGTTATTATTGCAGATATCTGCCTTTGTTCAATGAGGGCCAAGCTTTAAACTAATCATCTCCGATTCTCCAGTGCACTGTATTTCCATTTTGACATGACAGATACCTTAGACTTGTTCAGTGCAATAACGACATCTCCATTACTTGATATGAACATTTCTCTCTCCAAGTCGAAAGTATTTTGATTGGATGGCATGACATAAAGAACCATTGTTGTAGTAATGATGCATGCTGGGTATTAACGAAATACAGTATATTGGATAATCAAGAGCGTTCACTGACATGAACAGCATGATAACTGTGGTTCAAGGCCAAGTGTTGCTAGCATGTCCATGAACCTGTTGCAGACAATTTGTTACGTCACCCCATGTTTTCCAATATATCTGTTGTTTCTATCCATTGTTTCTGTCAGTTAACCTCAACCTGACATACTTAATGGTCTGGCCAAGAATGCTTACAGCCATCACAACTACCAACAGTCTACCTCTGCCTTGACTATTTCAGTGAAATTTGGTTATTCGTACTTTATGTTCGTGTGTTACTTAAAAATGGTTTTACCAAGCAGAATCTTCATCTAATTTTAGCATTTTGCAGAACTACATATAACAATACCTGCCCTGGATTGTCTGCTTACAACTTACATCAGCCTGGAAGTAATTAGTGTTGGAATATTGCTGATCGTGACATTAAGCATATCACGGAAACGCTTGGAATCTAATCCTGTTTCCCTGAGGGGAAACTGGGAAATACAATTGTGTTAGGTTTTTGACACATAAGAAATACTTCCTGGAAAAAAACGTATTTGCAGACACAATTTTGGTTCCCCCTTGCTGGCATCTTAAAGCAGCAAACATATTTTCTGCCTGGATTCCCCTGTATAATATGCTTTCTATGTAAGGAACTGTAGAGCAGTGATGCGATGGCACAGGGCGTTAAGTATGTCCGGTATGGCGCTGGTTCATCTTACTACTCCTGAGAGCACCTGTCTGTGCTACTGGCTCTCTTACGGCAATAAAATTGGGGCATTTTATATGTTTGTACTTGGTTGTACAAGGGATGGTACTTTTGTTGTGACCGATGGTGAAACACCATCGTCCAGACAGGAAGGGCAGCAACTACATAGGACACATCTTTATTTATCAGATTAAACAATCATTATTACAATGTCTGTGTTGTGTCTTCATCAGTGACAAGCCAGTTCAACATCACAGGAATTTAGCTACATGTTGTGCTGGGTGGGGAATGACAACACACCAAAGTATAGGGCAGATCATGGAACAGCGATGGAGGCACCATATAACTAGGATATTGGTTTCTATGGTAACATTTACGGTAAAGTTTGCATATATGTGTCCCCAGAAGGGGATCACGGCTATTGGGACAGTAGTCACAGTACTTTGTCCAAGTTTACTGTATGTTGCTGTACCCTCAACTAGGTGTTTGCACGTATTCATGTGGCCACCATCTGGTCATACCAACAGATTCATGGGTTGTGATAACACTGAAAGAGTCCACACAAAGTTGACTCCAAGGTCTTGGCCAGCTCGCCCACCCTGCCCCTGTATCATGCAGTTGCTATGCTTGAGGGTCAGGACAGTGTCCAAGCTTCTGATGACCTTTTTGTGAATTTTGGTACCTGTAAATTTCCATGTAGTTTCATGCAATTTTCCGTGTCACCGTAAACAGGACAACTGCATGAGCTGCTTTTACGTGGCCATCCCACCAGGTAAACGTATTGCTGCTGGGTGACCAGGGGATTCTCTTTGAACAAAATCATGAGGCAAGCAGCTTGTATAAATTTAAGGCCATAGAAACTCAACCTGACAAATATTCGTCCACCTACTCTCACTGATCAACATGCTGATTTGTTTGTATACAGCGTCATGTGCAGATTGCCTAATTCACCGCCATCACTCTGATCAGTCACATCACCGCAAGCCTTTGACCACAATGGGATCAACCTACAACCTCTATAAACATGGCAAGGCTGGGACTAACACTGTTACTGGTTGTCAAAGCCAAATCTGCATACAAGACCGGAACCCCTATCCTTTGTATCACAGTAATAAGACAGAAAACAAGATGTGTTACAATGATACATGTTTAATGACAACCAGTGATATTGACATTTAGGAGACAATGAATTCTACTGTATCTTTGATTTGGATGGCCAGTCGCCAGGTGATTGGTAACATTCAATTATTGGCATTAACAAGTTGTGGAGACAGTCAATGGTATTGTAACTGAAAAGTCAACCAGACTGAAACAAATGTCAACTTAGGGAGAAGTGACGATCTGGCAGTCTTGGTACTACACACGGATACAGTTTGGCTACACTTGAACCCAGGGTGGAACGAATGCAAACAAACGTACATGAAATACTTGATGCCGAACAATGAACATATCAGGGTTGGAAATTAACCATGTTACAAGTAATTAGATTGTGAAACAAAATTTCCCTGAAACTATCATAAAATAAGTCCAATCTAAAACACCTTGTTTGTTGAATGCAGTAGTAATACAATGGAAACTGACAATGTCTCATTTGGCCAGTGATAATGAAATTGATAAATGAAGTGCAGCATAAGTCTTTACTTGCTGTAATTTCGAACCCTGATGAACAACGCGAAATCGCTTTACATGATGCAAAGATAAATAGTACGACTATCACCCTGCCCGGAAACCCCTGCAATGACAAAACATGATACACATGACTAAGAGTAGAAGACGATGACAAACTGTACAAAAAATGAATAGAGTGGATCTATTCAACCTTTCTGAGGGCTGGTATCCATTGCGGATGCGTTCAGTCTTTCACCGTTTTCACTTCACATGGTCCGCAAACACCCTTTGAATGGTAATCACATGACTCGAGTCAATCAGTGGCACCACTTTCCTCCTGTCTGCTGTTGGAATACGTCTATTGAATCTCCATCCTCCATCTCCAGCTGAAACAGACACGATCATCAGCTCACTCCAAGACTGTGCCTCATTTACACTGGTGTGTGTACCAACGCTGGTCTGATGACCCAAGCCTAATCAATTTTTCATGTCATTAGAATATAAGTTATTATTGAACTCAATTTCTTTCTAACAAATGAAAATACTATAGTTTATTCAATCATATGATGTGGCTTCTGTCCTCTGGAAAGGCTTCAGCAACATAAATTCCACACTAAATGCCCTTGGCTAGCAAGTAAAAACTGAACAAATATATTATTTGCTTAAATACTGATTAATCCTACCATGGCATTTCAAGCCTCATCCCCTGTATTGATGGTTTTCGGTGAAATGTCACCTCAATGAAACCACTAATACAGCATAAACAAGGAAATGTTGACTTATGGTTGGGGAATTACAACTGTCATTTGCTGCTGACTTGCGGTCAACTATCCCCTGAGAACACGTGTATGCATGCAGGAACAGTGATTCAGTCAATGGAAGCTCGGTAGCTTTTCTAGCTAAACAACTAAAGTACTCACCAAAGAAGGGGAATCTGACTCGTTAATTGGATTTCCATCAAACCGGAATCGCACTTGTTGGGCTTGAATTCCCTGAGAGAAAAACATGGTGGTCATAAGAATCATTAACACTGTGCCCAACTTAAAACAGAAGTGTAATTTAACAACTAATAAAGCAATTCTTTGTGTATTTAAAAAAATTAAAAAGTTAGTCCCCAAACTAGAAAGAATCTAACCAATAGTTAAAATTATTGGTCAAGAAAATGTCTTTGTTTGGATGAACAAAATTCCTTGGTGTAGCTATAATGTTTACAGATTGAGGATAAAATTACACAACATAATCCTTTAAAATGCTGCCTAGCATGCAGTCAATACAATTGACACTAAGTCAACATACAGGTCGGTTCATGGTCAATTGCATATTGTACATTTTCATCAAGGAAGTTAACACCTCTCTTCATTCAACTCAAGCAATATGTCCTAAACTGTATACAGAATAGTAATTTGTGATGTACTTGAAAAGTTGTCACATACTTAAGGTTAGGTACATACCAACAATTGTGTACATGGAAGTGCTGATCACATGTTAGCTACTCTCTATAATGGTGGGAAGTAAGGCTGTTAGGAACAGAAGCCCTTCATTAATTCAATTTGTTGTTCATGGTCACCAGAACCAAATAGTTACCATTTTTTAAAGGGAGCTTGTTTTATTTGACCCGTATGTCCATTTTCAAAGAGAGATAAGCAAGAATGGAATATGTTCTAGCCTTTCAGGAGTGTTAGTTGTGTCAGTTTGCAAGAGCCGTGCTATAACATACCTAATTTGACGGTCATGAGATCACTGGTCATTGCTGTGGCAAATTAACAATGTCAACATGGGCATTGCATATTGTGCATCAATCTCTTGACAACATTATTGTATTCATGAATAAATATTCTTATTTGTTAGCCAATATTAGTGATATGTATTGTATTCAGCCACATAGTGTATTCGTTGCAGCCCTAGTGGAAAGGAAATTGATTTGTAATCTTGACCTTAATAATATGGACTGTGACCAGGGATTTACCTTGAGTCCTGTTTTTGAGCTTCCCTGGGAATTTTCAGGGGTCCTGGACATCAAAGTGGGGGTGCCAGAAACTTAAATATTATTACTAATACTGTTATTGTATTGTGTATCATGATTGTAACTGTAATTGTTACAGTAATGAAATTTCAAATGATACCATAACTCAGCTAGTAGCAAATTCAGTGATAACTTTTTGTTACTTGATTGAATTTTTACAAATGTATTTGGACTTTTTCTACGTCCCTGTGGATGAGCTAATAAATTTTGTTGCGTCCATTGTCAATTTTTATGTGTATAGGACGCAGGAATTCGCATCCTGTAAATCCGTGTGACAACAGGAATTTAGTGCTATGAACCCAGTCAGGAATATGTCACAATTCTTCTGTAACTGATAGACCGTTACAAGCAGACAAAAAGCACTGCTTGCAAAAAATGCATTCCAAATATCTGGTCTGTTGTATTTTTTGCATGAAAGACACGTGTTTCTGTTTCTTGTGAGCACTGTATACCCATGTCAATCCCTGTTGATACCCTCCCAACTAGCCAACTAAGATAAATGTCAGAAATAGAATTACTTCCGCTTTGCAATCCCAACTCTGTAACATCTTTTGACATTTCTGCAAAGAGTAAGAATTGTTTCCCTTGACACAAGTCCACCAATTGAAATGAAGGTTGTTTGTATAGTGACACTATCAACAAAGGGAGGGCTGGGCTTCGGAACCATATTTGGTTACTGACGACATCACTGACCATGTCATGCCCCAAAAGATTTATTGTCACTTTGACTTAATGCTGCTTTGAAAAGTGTTTCCGACATCTACAATACTGCATCATTCATCGTTCAGAAATATTGCACTTACGACTCTTTGACAATAGGCAGACATGAGTTTCCTCAGCTGTGTGTTCTTCTTGATCTTGAAATGCACCACGCTGCCATCTTGGCCGGCCACCTTCAGGTTGATGTGCTCACTGTTCTCGGGCTTGATCTCATCAACACCCTGGCAAATTACAAATTAACATTCAGAGTGGGTCAACATTTAAAGGGCCATCATTGTTTGGAAAACACAAATCCACGGAGACTACATGAGGATGTGCTCTAAACAGCCTAATGTGTAAGGGAAGCTCAAAATGGCTCAAATATGCAAGGAACACAGACTATAATAGATGGGAATCCATCATAACATCTTCAGGTCAAAATCAACAATATTCTCGACATCCCCTACATCTTTGCTTCAGAAGTCCGGTAAAGGTTTTTGTTGTACGGTAGAGGTCTTCTTGTTCTACTTGTTGCAAAGAAAAAAAAGACATGCAAAGTACAACCAAGTCACTAAGTCTGATTACCTGGTCTATTTCGTCAACCCCTTTGATGAGCAAATGCTGCTGGAGACATCTTTAACCAGACAGGCATCATAAACAATAATTCAAGGCAACAAGATGGACCAGTCAGTGTAAGTTGTCCTTGACAAGTTTACGGAAAGCCAAAGCTTTTTTTTCAAACATCATAATCCTAGTTTTAAAATGAAAGATTTAGATAATATATTATTTGACACAATACAGTGTACAAATAATCTTTAGCTAATTACGATTGTTAACTAGTGGCTCAACAGAACACAGGTGTGTCACAACAGGAATGTCACAATTTACTAATATATTGTTACATTGATAACATTCTCACAAGACAATACCTGATGAACACATTGCTCTGATAAATAACAATTTAATCTTGTATCATTTAACACTGAATATTTGAAACAGCAATGGAAAGACCATGTTGGCAAAATGGGTCAAGTCCAGTCTACACAAAAATTGTACTTTCTCATTTATTCAGTCAACATTACAAGATATACAGTTTTTAGACTTAAAGTCTGTTCTAGTCTTTGTGTTGAACTGATACTCAGACATGTCTGACAAAAAAGTAAGTATATGGACTGAAATCAGACATAATTATTTTCAATTATGACACCAGACATTCTGGACGCCTCAAACTTTTTAAATATTGTCAATGCCATAGTAAATACAACAATTCACTGAAAACTGTGGCACATTAGGTATCTTGATATACATCATACTATGAAGACAATTGTGATGTGAGAGAGTGGCTTCTTAACTTTCAGAATCACTTGATACTGTCCTACTACAACAGCTACCATCTTATACTAAATATAACAAACCATAGTCAATGATAGTACTCCACAATGAACAAAGTAAGAGGGTAGATATATCTAGAATCCCAATCTATATATTATCGGTCTAATGCAGCATACAAAAGGAACCTATAATGACTTGTAAAATATGTAAACACTGTTTTGTGATTAGTTACTAGCATATATACAGATCTGACAAGGGAGCGTTTAATCCCTATCCTTGTGATCGAGGCTAAACATTACACGAAAAGAAAACATTTAAGATCGTTTCTCGATTACTTTAAAACAAAACAAACAACATAACAACAGCCTGTAAGACTTAAGTACGAACATAATGTGGGAAGTTACATCAAAACCCATAATGAATTCTAGAAAGAATTATTTTAGTTGTCAAAATAGTTCGACCATGTAAGGAAGAACATGTGGCGTAAAAGGGAACTGGTATCAAAACAAACAATGCCGTTTCGTTGAGGTCGAAATTAAAGAAAACATTTCATGAGGACTACAACAGCAGACACCGTTGTTCACAGGATTTAGCTACGGTTGAAAATAAAAAATCGCAGACACAGCTTTCAGAATATTTTTAGAACTAAGGAGAAAGAAACCGAAGATGGAGAATGCGTAGCGGGATCTCGGAATAAAACGTGCTCAAAAGGGATCAAAATACGAAGTAATCCTTTTGTTTCTAGATTCCCATTAGCACAACGTTTGTGGATTTCATTTCAACTGAATGATAATAATTTTACCCCTTGGTTGCAGTTCTGTTGCAGCTGTTGTTCTGACATCTTTTCTAGGTGGAGATCCGCACTCCTTCTGAACGAAAATGGCGCACAAAGAAGGCAGCCTGGGATATGTTCCGAAAGAAGGTTCCCTGTGATTGGTCAAATATTTGACCTTCAGATGACCTTGTCTTATTTTGTCTATGTTGCTTATTTAATACACCGGTAAAGTATATAACAACTGGCTGTTAGTTATTTCTTATTTTGAGATAAATGTCAGAGACTAAAGAAAGCATGCATAAAGCCTTTACTTTCATCAATACGTTGGGCTTTCGTGCACTTTTAGAGAAACAGTCACACCAATGAAATGCTTTCTTACAACTCTAGGTCATGCTTTTTATCAGACCGCGGGAAAATGTCTAACTTTTAAACCACACAAACGTGTCTGTTTTAAATTTAACCACATCATTTCTATAACTTATTTAGGGGTGAGCGTGTAACGGGAAACTACTGTAAATACACGTATGAATTAAGGAGCCCTACCTAATTTGGGTACAGAAACAATTGTCCGTGGGTACATAGGCCTGAGGGTATAAAAGATATAGGTACAGGGAGGTCTATTGTTGGTACAGTCTGTAGGCCCATGTATACCGGCCTCTGGTACGGTTTCTAGCGTATAACATCAATTGTTGGGTGCACTGATTGTGTTATTTGAGTATGCTGATCAGCGAATATTAACGACCATGCGTTTACCGATACATCGTGAATTGATGCCGAACGTTGCGAGATACGACATTCGCGCATCGCATGGAACGATTGTTTATGGGCCATCACGTACTAGCCGAGCAATAGAACCCGTACTACAACAGATTCTCTCCCAATCTGACAGACAGCTACCAGATATACCTGAACTAACCCGTCCCGCAAGCGAAACCCAGCATTCTGTCACCCCATGCACCTATCCGAATCCTTCATGGTGGGTGCAACACGTTGTTTCAAAATCCGTTCTCGTTACCCGTTTCCATTTCAGGTTTAGTTTCTCATGTTGTCTTCTTTACAGATCATTGTCAAAATAGTGTAAGAAACATTTTGTATCAACCCATTTTTACAAAATCGTATTCTGGTATTTGTACCCCCGCCCCTTGTCACCCAGTCCCCGCAACGCGAAGCTGTGCACCCCACGTGGAGGATAGCGCCACATGAAGTCTTATACCATAAAGGGTAATAAGTGTCAAGTCACAGATCACAACCCTCCGTATCGTAATTCGTCTCTGTTAGACACATGTAGCTTAGACTAACATCTAGTCTTTGAAATGAAACATATTATTTATTGAAAACCGGTCCCTAGATTTTTTGTATTATGTCCTATGATAGACAAAGAGCATCACCATGCTAGTGTGTCTCAGTAGACAGATGTGAAGTAACGTGTGTTTTGACAACAATATTATAGATGTGACCACATGATGCACAACGGCCATGTCATATACCGATCCCTGTGATGTCACACAGCTACCATGTCACATGTGACAGATGTGAAGTAACGTGTGTTTTGACAACAATATTATAGATGTGACCACATGATGCACAACGGCCATGTCATATACCGATCCCTGTGATGTCACATAGTTACCATGTCATATGTGACAGATGTGAAGTCACGTGTTTTTTACAATATTATAGATGTGATCACACGATGCACAACGGCCATGTCATATACCGATCCCTGTGATGTCATATAGCTACCATGTCACAAGTACAGATGTGAAGTCACGTGTTTTTTTGACAATATTATAGATGTGATCACACGATGCACATACAGCCATGTCATATACCGATCCCTGTGATGTCACATAGCTACCATGTCACATGTGATCAGATGTGAAGTCACGGTGTTTTGACAATGTTATAATGTGATCACTGTGATGTGCACGTCTACCATGTTACATACCGATCACTGTGATGTCACACGTCTACCATGTCACATGTGACAGATGTGAAGTCACATGTGTTTTGACAATATTATAGATGTGACCGTCTACGATGTTACAAGTGGCCATGTGATATCACCGATCCCCGTGATGTCACAGTGATCAGCTACCATGTCACATGTCTGTAATGTGAAGTGATCACTGTGATGTCACACAAGCTACCTTATAGATGCTATCACCACACGATGCACATAACGGCCATGTCATATACCGATCCCTGTGATGTCACATATAGCTACCATGTCACAAGTCATCAGATGTGAAGTCACATGTAGCTACCTTATGACAATATTATAGATGTGACACACGATGTTACAAGTGCCATGTCATATACCGATCCCTGTGATGTCACACAGCTACCATGTCTACCATGACAGATGTGAAGTCACGATGTTTTGACAATAATATTACAAGTGATCACTGTGATGCACGTCGGCCATGTTATAACCGATCCCTGTGATGTCACACGTAGCTACCATGTCACAAGTAATCACTGTGAAGTCACATGTGTTTTGACAATATTATAGATGACACCGTATGTCATGCATCAACTGTGGATGCACATGTCTGTAATATATAACCGATCCCTGTGATGTCACACAAAGCTACCATATTACAAGCTGACACTGTGAAGTCACGTGTGTTTTGACAATATTATAGATGTGATCACACGATGCACAATAGCCATGTCATATACCGATCCCTGTGGATGTCACATATAGCTACCATGTCACATGTGACAGATGTCAAGTCACATGTGTTTTGACAATATTATAGATGTGACCACATGATGCACAACGGCCATGTCATATACCGATCCCTGTGATGTCACACAGCTACCATGTTACAAGTGACAGATGTGAAGTCACATGTGTTTTGACAACAATATTATAGATGTGACACGCGTCTACCATGTTACAACGCCATGTCAAATAAGTATCGATCACTGTGATGTCACATATCTACCATGTCATATAAGTGATCCCTGTGATGTCACATAAAGCTACCATGTTACAAGTGATCCCTGTGATGTCACACAAAGCTACCTTATTACAAGTGATCACTGTGATGTCACACATCTGTAATATTACAAGCTATCACTGTGATGTCACATATAGCTACCATGTCACAAGTGATCACTGTGATGTCACATATAGCTACCATGTCACAAGTGATCACTGTGATGTCACACATGTCTACCATGTTACAAGTGATCACTGTGATGTCACACAAAGCTACCATGTCACAAGTGATCACTGTGATGTCACATATAGCTACCATGTTACAAGTAATCACTGTGATGTCACATATAGCTACCTTATTACAAGTGATCACTGTGATGTCACACGTCTACCATGTTACAAGTGATCACTGTGATGTCACACGTCTACCATGTTACAAGTGATCACTGTGATGTCACACATCTACCATGTTACAAGTGATCACTGTGATGTCACACATGTCTACCATGTTACAAGTGATCACTGTGATGTCACACATCTACCATGTTACAAGTGATCACTGTGATGTCACACGTCTACCATGTTACAAGTGATCACTGTGATGTCACACATGTCTATCATGTTACAAGTGATCACTGTGATGTCACATATAGCTACCTTATTACAAGCTATCACTGTGATGTCACACAAAGCTACCATGTCACAAGTGATCACTGTGATGTCACACATGTCTGTAATATTACAAGTGATCCCTGTGATGTCACACAAAGCTACCATGTCACAAGTAATCACTGTGATGTCACATATAGCTACCATGTTACAAGTGATCACTGTGATGTCACACAAGTCTACCATGTCACAAGTAATCACTGTGATCTCGCATATAGCTACCTTGTCACATGTGATCATGCTGATGTCACACATGTCTACCATGTTACATGTTATCACTGTGATGTCAACATATAGCTACCATGTTACATATGATCACTGTGATGTCACATATAGCTACCATGTTACATATGATCACTGTGATGTCACACATGTCTGCACTATTACATGTGATCATTGTGATGTCACACATAGATTCCATGTCACATGTTATCATTGTGATGTCACACATAGCTACCATGTCACATATGATCACTGTGATGTCACATATGTCTACCATGTCACATGTGATCACTGTGATGTCACACAATGTCACCGACTGATAATCCTTGTTCTAATATATAGCAAAAACGGAATCATGTCAGAATGATCACAAACATGTCATTTTCTCACTTATTTTATTACACCTTCCTCACTGGCATAGTCAATAGAGCTACTCTCACAAACAATGAATACACAGATCTTCTTAAACAATGAAGATTCTGATTAATGGTGCATAAACATTTTGTCATGGAATACCATGGTCAAATTATGAATGTAACTTTGATTATTTCATCAGGCTTCATTTTCTATCACTAGATTATTAGAATCTGATACACATAAATACATTGTATGTACTATAGCAAACTTGCAAAAACCAAAAACAAACAACATAAAGAATATATATCGAAGGTGGCACAGTTGGCTCAATCCACAAAAGTGCTGGAGTTCACAGTGCTGAGCTGTCTCTGTTGGCAGTGCAACAATCTACCAAGAATTCAAACTTCAGATTCATGCTAAGTATGAGTTGTTTCTAAGTACGATACCTGCCCTTGTATTTAGGGTTTCAAGAAAGGTATAAACATGTATAAAAATGAAGACCCCCCAACCCCAACATTTATATTGTTCAATGCATGACAAAATACCTCAGATTGTCTCCCCATCTCAGTAATCATTAAGATGTTTGAACTTGCCCAATACATATATTGCACTCATTACACAGAAAATACCAGGTGAGCAGAATATGTGGGCTGGATGACACTGTGTCGCGTCATAGCGGTATGCTGGGGACCTGGCAAAACACATGATGTGCACTGGTCACCTCCATGATGTCACAGGCCAACAACCACACGTTGGTATCAGTGTGCGAAATAGCTGCTATCCCGCTAGCCCATGGCTAGTAAAATTCCAGTTGGGCCAGTAAATCTCTACAGTCACTGGCCCGACTGGCTAGTGATTTTTCATGGGGACATTTTGTAAAATAATATATCACACTCTCCGATTTGTTAAGTTATAATACACTTTTAAATCATGCAACATTATGGCCTGATAGAAATGTTCATCATATC